AATATCTAAGCAGTTATTAAATGTAGCTGATTTATTGTTCCAATTATATATATCTATATATATATATGAATATATATGTTCATATATTTGATGTCTCAGTGCTGGCGCTTTCCATGTATACAAAGGAGCCATACATGATAGGGACCCGCCAAATAAGACCAGACCGACTTTACTATTAAAATAATTTTGGCCTGCAAGAGAGAAGTGAGAACATGAGACTCCTACGAATAATAATGTATTCTTTTTCTCAGTCTGATGGTTCAATATAGTAATGTGTCATATATATATATGTGTGTATATATATATATATATGTATATAATGTGTGAAGAGCATGAAATAGTCAAAGGGGTTTTACTCAAATGTGGAAAGGACCAAGGATAGATGTTCAGCTATGAATTTTGGGCAGTTTTACTTCAGAAAAATATGATTTGTTAATGGTTTGTCAAGACAATATTGGACTGTAGCAACTTCCCCTAGTGTTTTTTCTTTTTTTTTTTTTTTTTTTTTGAGTATTTGATATTTAATTTTTGAACACCACAACTAAGAAAATCAAGAGTAACAAAGTTGTATATATTAGAATTTTTGAATGAAAATTGTTTCATTAGTAATCAATAGGTGCCTATGTTGAAGATTGGTTAGAAATGGTTAATAAACTATGAGGATTGGTTAGAAATGGTTAATAAACTATGAGGATGCATTGGATTCCAATATATACATGAATGGGTGTGTTGGTTGAAAATGTACAATTGAACGGACATAGCCTATTCATGCAACCTATTGGAATAGATTTGTCTAGTACGTGGTAAACAGATACCATGTGAACCATTGCAACTTATTGGAGTGAATGTGTCTGTTGGTGATCAGACACCATGTGAACTATTGCATCCAATTGGAGTGGTTGTGTCCAGTGATGAAGAGACACTTCTAAATGGTTGTGTCTAGTGATGGAAAGACAAGTAATGAAAAGACACATATAAATGGTTGTGTCCAATGACGAATAGACACACCCAGTAACCAAGAGGCACCATATCTATAAATATCCCCCTTGACTGCATATTTCATTTGAACAATTGATTATTCTCTCCCTCTCTCAAGATGAACCCAACCCAAGTGGGTGTGGGTTCAAGCCATGGTCAAGTGGTCTGAACCAGTTAGGCGCAAAACCAATTTCATTGAACCATATTAAATTTGGTCCGAGTCATTTGGTTCGGATTGCACCCAATTCATTATTTATATAGTATAGATGCATTTTTGAGTCAAAGAGAGTATTACACAGAGGAGGTTCGCCGTATCCACGAATTTATAGTGCTGTTACTGGTGGATGTAGACCGTTGTATCTTAGAAGATAGACGTCACTGAGCCCGTTAGCACCATAGCGGGGCGAATCTATCTTAAGGACATAATATTCAATACTAGTCAATTCTTTATTTATTATTTATTAATTTATTGCTTTATTTTTCATATTTAATTAAATATATAGTTGCATATTTAATTAATCATTTCTTAGTATATTGTTAATTATCTCAGAGCATATTAGTATAAAGGTTGGTATATCTTAAATGTCACATGAAGCATATATTTTACTAATAGTATAATATGATTATGTGTTCAAAAATAGGAAAATTGTATGATTAATACACACATAAGATATATACATACACACATAGCCATGTGGCATGTATGTAATTTTCTTCTTTGTTTACTAATTGCTAGTGAGATTATGTAGCTTGATATACATATATATTTATATATATGGATCAAATTGATTTGATGCATCTGAGATCATGGATTTGTTAATCATCGTCACTCGTCGGCTTCCACAGTTTTGTTTTTCCTCCGCAGCCTCATACAACCGATCATAGTTAGATAATTTTGTAGCAAATTAAATTAACTATCAGTGACATCTAGCTATAGCTAGGACAATGATGTAGAAATAGATTCATATACGATTTTGATTGTCATGACAATCAAACTATCATTAGAACTGTTTCAAAAAGCACCTGTAGGTTTATTCCACGACAAGTATAAGCTACAAAAAAGGTGGTGATGTTTGCACGAGTCTAATCTTGTGTAGGAAGGTTCCTCTATTTTTTCTTAGCGACATCAACATGATAGAAAATAACGACAGTTTTGTGTCATATATATAATTTGGCCTTGCTTCCATGACAATTAAGTGTGTGTATATAAAATCGCCAATGACAAGATTGAGCATGCCTTGAAGAAGGTATATATTTTGTTTTTAAAATAAATAAATAAAAGAAATAAAAACTTACTGTTTAAAAGCTAGATAGACAGACATCTATTATGTCAATAACACCAAAAGAATATTTTATGAATAGAATTGGGATATTGATATTTTTCATCCCCGACCTCGTTTTAACTCTAAATTACACTTTTCATCTCAGAATCCTCTAAAAAGTAATAATTACTCACGTTTTTAAAAGTCTTGTTATCCGCTGCTGCTACTTTTATAATGCTTCCAAATACTCGGTGAATCCGAGGTTGAACCACAAGAAAAAAAGAAAAACAACAATTTATAGTGAAATAAAATAAAAATATTAGAAAGGTTTTTGAATATTTGTAAAGTTGATTTCAGAGAATTTATTGGAATAAAAATAATAGGGTTTCAGATATTAACACACAACAAATTAATGGTATTTGTTAACGATTTTATCTCAATTAAGACTCATACGAAGGGTGATCCCAATCGGAAGATATTGAAAGTTATTATATGCAAAATAATTCCTAAAGATGATTTCATAAAATTGATTGATTCATGGCATGACAAAACTAGTATTTGATTCGCCCCTTTGGCCGCGCATTATGTTTAGGTACACTTCTCTCGTTCCTTTGAGCACGCATTGTCGTTAGGATCGCTTTAGTAGGTACGTACATTTCCTTCATTCTTTTAAATACGAATCATTTTTTTTTTTTTTTCCTACTTGGTACTCTCACACACCCCGATACAAATCATCTTTTGGAGCATCTTATTACACTTATCTCGTTTCTTTATGAAAAACCTTTGATAACATGAATCTTTATTTCTGAATGATATCCCCCGATCAAGATAATTGGTTGAATCCCGTGAAACTATTTCATAATAGTTCATTGATATCCTTTTATATATATATAAGCAAATCGACTTCGATTGCTAGGATGGATCGTTTCATTTGCCAGTGTAAAAATATGGGATTTCATTGAGTCAAAATATTAGGAAATTTATAGTTTTGTCGTGCAACAATGGACTAATGAGTTTAAATAACATTTAACCTGTTTTCTAGTGTTAGTATCACCAACATTACGTGATCAAAATCCTCTCCTACGCAACAGGACCAGTCATAGCCAGTGAGTTAAAATCGTAAAAGTTAAAAATTAAAAAAGCAAAACTTTTATATATACATACACACATACAAACGAGACCAAATCAAAACCAGACCAACTTTTTGCTCTTTTTTTTCTCTCTCTACACAAACATTTCCCTAACCTACAACTTCTTGTATATCACAACATTTTCCTAACTTACATCCCAACTTTCTCCTTACCACATCCCACTTATTGTATAAATACATAAATAAACATATCTTAGTATAAACTGTATATCACAACATTTTTCTAACCTAAGCTACATCTCAACTTTTCCCTTACCAACATCTCAACTTTTTTCTTACCAATATCACACAGATTCATTGTTTTATCTTATCTGGGATGTACGTTAGAAAAATGTTCGGATGCTAATAAGGAAAAATTTGGAAAATATTGAAATGTTGTTAAGGAGAAAGTTGGGATGTATAGACTATGTATGTTTACACTAAAAACTAACTTACCTACATCCCAACTTTCCTCTTACCAACATTCCAACTTTTTCCTTACCAACATCACACTATTCATTGCTTTATCTTGTTTGGGATACACGTTAAAAAAATGTTGGGATGCTAGTAAGGAGAAAGTTGGGATGTACATGAGGAAAATATTGTGATGTAAGACCAACGTCCAATCATTTTCCTAACAAGAGAAATAGATGAATAGTAGTTTGTATTCTAAGAAAATATTAGGATGTACATTAGGAAAATATTGAGAGATTGTTAAGGAGAAAGTTGGGATGTATAGATTTTGTATATATGCACTAAAAATTGACTTACTCTCTTTTGTCTTTTTTGACTAAGTGACGTAGCAAACTTTGTATGTATACACTAATACGTCTTCAGTAAAAATTGATTTACTTTCTTTTCTCTTATTTGACTAATTGGCGTGGCAAAATGGTGTCCACTTATCACTCACAAGCCAGAACAAATTCCATGTTACGCTGGAGAGGATTTTGATCCAACATCACGACCCGTCGCACTGTATACATATTTATTGTACACTTTATTTTCTTTTCTTTTTTTGCATTTTTTTATTTTTAAAGGAATTCACATATATTAGGTGATATAAGACGTTACAATCATTCCTTTTTAAGACTCAGCAAACCAAATTTTCATGGACTTGTGCACCATCTCTTATTTACAACTACAGATTGACTTTAATACCATTCGTGATAACCTATCATATTTTCTCGTGGACTAGTATACACTCTTCATTTTCAGCTGAAGATTAACTTTGATAACATTCTTCGTTTTACACAATATTTGTGTTCGTGATTTTCAAAATGCTTATACACAATTAAGAGACATTCACACGTCATACATTTCTCCTCTAAGCAATATGGAACGTCTGATTTTTCTTACAGATGCAGTCCAAGAACATGATTGTGATTGGTTGTCCGCTGAACCGGACAGGATCTTAACCATGTGAGAGATAAGGTACATTATAATATTATATATTAAAATATATACATATAGTAGATATGCATAGAGAGAGAGAGATGACAAAATGAAGACCGCGTTAAGAAATGAAGCCTAGATGAAAGCTACAAGAGATGTATTGGGGAGACATATCATGGAAGAATAAATAGATTTATAATAACTATTTGTTTGCTATATATGGATCAATTAGCGGCCGGCTAACGGAATGGGTCAGTCAGCAAACATCTAAGAGACCTTGTCTCCCTCTCCACGCCTTCACTCAGCTCACAATGGCATTGCCTATGCTCTTTTATTGTCCTTTGCTTCACACCCTCTTCACCTCTCCTCCTCTATAACACCTCCCTCTCTCAAACATCTAAAATCCCCTAAATTCTTTAACAAGAAACACTTCGTTTCCGATCCATGTAGAATACCTATCCAGAAGTTTTCGCGACTCAATCATACCTAGGCTTGCAGAATAATCAAGGATTTGACCTTTTCCGAACTCTGTGTAAACTTTTCTTGATTAGTTTCACCATGGAAGAATCTGGTAATCACAAAGAAGCTGCGAACTCAAGCGAAGAAGTTGATCAACCGGAGCGAGAGAATTGCAGCGATATTGTAGGCACTGGTAGATCCTATGATTGCATGTTCTGCAAGAGAGGCTTCACTACGGCACAAGCTTTGGGTGGACACATGAACATCCATAGGAAAGATAGAGCCAAGAACAGGCCTTCTTTGATTAATTCCAATCAGCACGAAGAGAACCACGCGACGCCCATGTTCTACCATCCAATTTCAAGCTACCCACCTCATTTTCCTGCACCCCACGAAGCACTGATCAATTACCGGACATATATTCCAGCTTCCACATCAGTTTCAAGGCCATCATACTCGCACCACAAAAGCAGTGATGATCACTTAAATTCGATAGGAGAGGACTGGCGGATGAGCTTGAGCTTGCAATTTGGTTTTGGTGCTGCCCAGGCCACGGAAGATGCTGAAAAGAAGAAAGAAGAAGATGGATTAGATTTGGAGCTTCGGCTTGGTCATGATCCGTAGAGTTCTTAACTCAGTTCGCGTGATACTGTACAGCTATGTGTTCATGTTACTTGCAGGATTAATTAATTTCTTATGCAAAGACACCATTATGCAAAGACACCATTTCGCGGGATTTGTATAAAGTGGTACTTTTTTGCATAGGGTTTGCTTAATTCTGTGGAAGTCATGATGAAGGGGAAGAAATCCAGAATTGTCCTGAGGTTGGGAATTTTCAATGGATGATCATCACTTTCTGGTAACATATATATTTGTCCTAGAAGTAGCTATATATATATATATGTTGTTTTATCTCAATATTTATGCATATAGCCCTTATTTGATTAGGGATATATGAGATGTTGATTTTATTTCAATGTGTTTCTTAGCTACAATTTATATATATGTGGTTTCTAGTAAAGTGCAAGCTCAAGTTATTTTGCTGATGATATATATATATATATGAAATAAATTTGTCTACACCATAGATTGTTTGTTGAAAATAATTACCCTTATCATGCACTGAAGATAATGTTATTTGTTCACACAATTATAAGAGCTGGGACTTCTTGCCTGAACTAGTTGTGAGCTCTATCAATCTTTCGCGCTATTGTAAGTCATCGAAAGCCCTAGTTATTTAGCAACATAAATGGACAAATTATCATCCTAGGTTGATTACATATATCTATATATGTTATTTTGATCAGACAAAGCTCAGGGTTGATCAGGCTTTTAAGTCTTCCGAGTTAAGCACTCTTCAGTCAGCCAGCATATGACACCTTGTCTGTGCAATTGTTGATCGATTATCAGATGCTAATGGAATTAAATTATTTCTATTGTGTGAATGATCATAGACTTGATGTGAACTAAGGAAAAGAAGTGTGGATTATACTTTATAAATCATTTTAGTATATTTGAAACTGTTGCCTCGGATTATGGTATGGACTTGTTCTAAAGGGAGTATGATCCATTGATTCTACACTATATATTTAGGTTCAAAACTTAGAAGGAAATACTTCGATATTATAGATTATATATGCATGTCAAATTTAGAAGACTATAATGGGGACTCTATCTAGTTTGGGTTGCAGAGAATGATTCTTTGACATGGTGATTTCAATTCATAGCTTTCTTCCATGTTAAGTATTCGTCGAATAGAATTTTTCTCTATGAATGTCAAGGGAGACCCTTTTTGCCGCCCAAATTGTTCTATCTTTGTGGGGGATCAAACCTAGGAGCAAAAAATCTTCTCCTAAATTAATTCTCCGAATTGATTATCCTAAAATTATTGGAATTTTGGCCTATAATTAAGTAGGTTTGATTTTAGTTATTTTATATTTGTCTTTTCGCCATTTTTATTCATAATAGCACAATCAATTGCATTATTAAGGCATTTATACATAGTGGAAACAAGGAATAATGAGTTTACATATGGGATTATATGATTAAGGCATTTATATATACCGCTTTTCATCTTAATAAAGTTCTCTATCAGAAATGGACTGTAAAGAATGGTGGATGCTAAAATACATATTGCAGCAAAACATGTGTGTATATATAGCTGCTGTTAAGGAGTCCCGGCATGACATGACCGACATATATATATATATAGTTTCTCATGAGAAAGATAACGTTACGACATCATTTTGAATCTTCTTCAGCCATTGTGATCAAGTTGCAAAATATGGATGTCAAAAAGATTGTTTTTTAGTACCCATGGACAGTGTACACGACTCTCAGAAAACTAACAAAGCAAACCTAATCTTGCAAAAATAGGGTTTATGAAACGCTTCTATTTGTTTTATGCTTTTGTAATGGTGCCAACAATATAGGTGTTAATTAATGGCAATTCTGCTTTCTATTTTTGCTCAGAAAAGTAAATGTAGTGATTTTTTTTTTAGTTAAACTTGTACTGAGTTTGCTTTCTAAAGATATTAAAGAACTATTATGATACACAGCCCAGTCCAGACGACTACATCATATATGTGAGTAGTCGGCTGTGTCGGTGTCAGAGTAGTCGGTCTCCGGCACTTTAGAGTTTTCTAATACTAATTACTCCTAAAGTAAGCAAATAAGAATTTAGTGTAGTTTTGATTAGAATCGGCAGATGTAGCTTGACTTGGTCTCGAGAATTAACATTTGTCAAATCAAGCTTAGCTATGGTTCTTCCCGCCTGCAATTGTTTTTTTAACAAGTTATAAAACTCAAATTCTCCTAATAAAAAAACAAAGAGATGCTATTATCTAATATCAAATCACCTTAAGTACGACATACACTTGTAAAAAAAACTCATAAAATTACAGATAGACTTAACGTTTGATATTATTTTTGTACATAGCGATTGCTATGGGACTCGAATTTGTATCCTAAATTACGGTACAGTGATCGACTTCATAAATTTTACATGGCAAGGCAGAAATGATTCCAAGAAACTCATGACCGGGACTCAGAGTGATCGATGTACAGTAATTACTTCAGTGCTGTACAGAATTCTAGGTTGTTAAAGACTGTACTTAACTCTCACCATTGTTGTACCTCATATTTGAAGGTGAAAAAGGAAGTTAGTTCTTTCACTTTGATGGGAATCAAGCAGAACTTGTGATGGTGGTTCAAATGGTTGAAGGTCCAATGTGATGTTGGTTTCTATCCCTTCAACCTTTCAAATTCTACTCAAATATATATATATATATATTCCTGGCAAATTAGGAGGGGTAGGGTACTCCGACACACCAGCTCGAGGAGCGAGTGTTATACCAATTAGGTCACTAATTAATGCCTAATTTTATCTAAATATTTAAAATTGACAAAATTATAATTTTCAGTATTTTTGGAATAAATAGAATCTAAGAAACTAGGAAATGAATGGAGTTGGACCATTATATATAAGTGTATTAATTGAATGACAAAATCTCATGAAATCTTATATTATTCATGGAATTCCAATTATATTTTTAATTTAAACCCTTTTCAAATCCAATCAATTTCTGAAATCCGAATTCATAACAAACCTATAGAATTATAGAACTTCATTCTATATTAGGTGGCTATTTCTATACAATATATGTTGTGTTAGATATTCCTAATCTCAAGAAATGAATATAAAATTTCTTTGTTAAGTTACCATTTATTAAAGATGTGAGGTACAAAAGGCCAACCTGCATGTTTGGTCCAATGGTCAAGAGTCTGTTAGGGACGAAACCTAAACTTCGTGCTAGGTTTGACTTTCAGATGGTGTAAAATCACAATGGCGGCTTATTCTTTCTAATATAATTTGCATAACTGTTAGTAGGAGACTATCGAAGCACCAGTGGTCTAGTGGTAGAATAGTACCCTGCCACGGTACAGACCCGGGTTCGATTCCCGGCTGGTGCATATCTTTTTTATTTCCCCAGCATTTTTGGTCCAAACACGACCACGTGAACATCCTTTTCATCGTGGTCCGGTGTTATTGCATTTATTACATGATAATTTGAATATTCATTGGACAGCATCAGATAGGTCAAGAAAGAAAAGAAATTTCTTTTATAATATAATTTTCAATAAATTAATATGTAAGCTGTTTATAGCAATTGCAGAAGTACTCTGAAAACAGCTTTATGAATTTCTGAATAATAAAAAGAAAAAAATGAAATCTGATTTAACCTCAAAATATTAATTTATCGAACAAGCCCCGTCTGAAATCAAGCAAGAGTCGGCTTTGCCTAGCTATGCCATCATCAACTAAGCACCACGCAGACTATAAAGAAGAATAACTAAAAAGAGTCAAAATTTAAGTGGACAGAAGAAAGAGATTGACCCTCCAAACCCTTTGATGTTTGGATGGAGCCCTGTCCTGTGGGTATTAATTTTCACACACATGCACACACATCTGGATAAAAATGGGAAGAAGGTGATTCCATATTGCTAGCGTAATAATGCAAATGGCCTGGTTCTTGCTACCAATTCCACTCATAAAAATCTGAGTCACATGTACACATGATATATTATAGAAACACCAAAATATCTTACAAAGAGAAACTGATATTGGACTACGGTAACAAAGTGAAAAGTCTCCACGGCTCTACCATAAAACCAGCAGACGAATCACACTAAAAAGACTAGTTACCTAGTCAGGAAGTATATGACCAAGAAAATCACCACGAACGATACCACTAGAGAAAACATTCTTTGGCTTGATTTCTTCTCGAATACCTACAGTAAAAGAAGCTCATGGTCAGCAAATTTAGGCACGCGTCGGAACTAAATCAAAGACACTAGAGAAAATGTTATTCAACATACCATTTTGAATTTATCCATAGTGCCTGACAGGACTCCTCTTGATGAATCCATGTCGTTGCCCTGAAGGACCAAAACATGGTTAATGCAACATAACACCAACAACGATAACTACACTATGGCACATGGCATTTAAAACTGCAGAATACATACCATTCGGTCCAGCATCAGGTTATGATTCTCTACTTCCTCGTGTATATCACCTGTCATCTGTTATGTAAAAGGCATTAATACTCACTTAGAATAATTCCAGATTCGTGAAGTTAAACTATAAAAGAAGCAAATTGCAAAGGATCAACCCAGATATGCAATGAATTTGTAACATTTAAGGGATCTGAGAATCGATCTTTGTTTTGGGTGTGGAACCGGTCCATTGTAACAGTTGTATTAGAGCCAACCCGAGAGTACTACAATGTGAGTCAAGAAAAGTATCGCACTAGTCCCACATGGAGGTGTGGTCCCCTTGTAATGGCGCGAAGGTCTGGCTGAGGGAGCCTGCCAGCTTGTCAAGGACGCTTAGATGTGCTCCGTCCTGTCCCACATCTGTGTGTACTGGATGATCCTCGGGTTAATAAATGGGTGAGGAGAATCCACAAAAGACCAGTCCTTTCGGGGTGTGGAAGTGGCCCATTATGACAGCCTTCAATTTTTCTTATGTTTGTAATACCTTACGACAACATATACATGTACCACCAAGCCCTTGACCTAGGTGGTATGTCCAAATGAGTCGTACAACAAGTGTTGCCTACTTACCAAATAAAAAATAAAAACAAATAAATAACATGCAACATGGGAAACTTTGTGGCTGCAGACATTTTATTTTATAATATCTTTTATCTAATGAAACCAATCAATTGACACTTTCGCTCACCAAATCATTATAAAGAAGAGAATAGAAGTAAACACAAAACATCTCCCGTCCACCCCTTTCTCTTTCTCTTGTGAGCTCCTTTCCTTTCTGATAGGCATATCCATTTCCAACCAAGAACAGAGTTCATAAAGTTGTCGAGCTTTCTCTTCAACTTTTAAATGACAAACTAAGCACTGTGCAAAACTATCCCACTACTCCAGTGCACACTTAAAACCCTGTACCCGCCCACCTCAAATCCACCCAAAAAAAAGAGAAGAAAGTGCTACCTGGTAATGAGATACAATGGCAAACTGATAAATAAATTTAACAACAATAAGAAGTAAATAAATATGCAACTGCTTCTCAAAAATGTTTTTATCATTTAATTCTCATCCAATATTACAGTATTTGATAGATACCAGATCAAAACTTGCCAATTGGAAGGAACATGCCTCATCTAATGTTTGATAAATCATAGCACTTCCCATCCCCTTTAGGATGGAAAATACAGAATCACTCAAAGACACAGAAAAAAACTGAGTATTAGAACATTTAAAAGAACATTCCAGCCCAAAGTTGAAGGATTCCAAATTTTTCTTCCTTTTTCTCACCTTTCCAGCAACAGAAAGGCATGAACTTAACTGAATTAAAACAATGTAAGGATCATATCACCAATGCAATTACTGAATAAACAAATGCAGAACAGTCGGAAACTGCTTTGATTGCATGAACGGTCAAATTTTGAGGCCAGGAAGGAACTTACTCTTTTCAGTAGATTCACCCTATCGTGCAACCCATCTATTGCTTTATCATTGTCTTGCTCATCAATTTCATGAGAGTAAGAAGATGAGGCTCTTATACCACCCTCCTCAATGCCATCAAAGAGAGCAGCTCTACCGTTAGAGAAGTCCCTGCATGCAGGAAATCATAATAGAAGTGCTGAAACAACTGAATGACAATAACAAAATCATAATTAATACAAGTTTTCTGTCCTCCCAATAAATTTGTGGGAGATCTCAGAAAAGCTGAACATGAACTTCTGCCAAGTAGCAAAAGCTGGAAATTTTTCTTCTCAAAAAGGAAAGAAAAGAAGAGGAGAGAAACTTTTAGAATAACAAATGAAGAAATTAAGAGTACAGAAGGTAACACTCTCTTGTGTGTGTGCATGCACTGATGGTTAACTATGATTTCCAGTCGGATTGATATATTTCAGTAGGCATTTATTTCGATTAGCCACCATGGGATGGTAGCATATATATATATATATATATATATATATATATATATATAATGTGTTTCTAACTTTCTATACAGATCTAAAGTCTTTAGATCTGTATAGAAAGTTTAAACAAATATATACATGCAGGGGCAGACATCCATGGGGACCAAGGGGGGCCATGGGCCCCCAAAAATTTTGGAAAAAATCCTACAATATAGGTGTATTATGAATCATAAGTTCCAAAATATGAAGAATATTTAATTTTGGCCCCTCCAAAGTATAAAGAAACCTCAATTTAGATTTTTTTTACCTTATTTTTGGAAGCTGCCATTTGAGAAAAAATTCAATATATATATATATATAGTATTTATGTTTTTTTAAGAAATTATGAAATACTTATAATTTTTTATTATGAAATACTACGGTTTTTATATTTATTTTTCATTATACAAATTCGATTTTCATTTTCACATTACTAAATCGGCCCCACAAATTAATGTTTCTTTTTTTAGCCTATTAGTGTATACTCTCTATTTTATTTTATTTTTTTATAAGTATATTAGTGTATGCTTTCTATTACTTATATATTGACTATTACATGGCTATTTTTCACTTTACCGCTAGTATGTAACTCCAATACTACAACTTTACATATTTGCACACAGGCAGCAGACAATCATTACATTTCAATTACATGTCCCAACTTACTTTAAATTACCAATCATGTCCTATATCAAATTCTATTTCATTTACATCCTTTTTCCTACTTTTAATTTTTCTCTTCAGCCCTCAATTCTAGCAATACATAATCAGTATGCTGCTATTATCTATATATAATCTTAGTTTATTTCAATCCCATCCTTTAATTTATTTTGTAGTACCTATCATGGAACACAAAAGGAGCTTATTGTAATTGTCCTACGATCCCAATCCTATGACATGAATTTATATTTTGATTTTAAATTTTACTTATACTGCGGATATTTTTCATATAATTTTCAAATATTTCAATGTTATCCCATATGCACAATAAATCCTTGTTTAACTTCTATATTCAAGGATGACCGATGACATGTATAGAGTTCTATGAAAATGGTTCTAAAAGACCTCAGATGATAAAGGCTGGGGGCTCATAATTCGTGTGTACACATATGTATTGACGTATGGACTTATACATGCAGTGAAGTGCCTGTCGTTTATGAATTTCATGGGGCTATATGGATCGCGGTTAATGTCACCTGAAAATTGCAAAATTATGATTTCTCATACAGTGAATGACCTGTAGTTTGTCATTATCTGCTTCATATTTAAACAGGAATTCAAGCAATTAACCTGCTGAAAGTTGCAAAAGAGAAAAACATTTTAAAATAAATTTGCAACCTTCAACCTTATCCGAGAATTGCCAGGTTCACCAATGAATTCAACCCATAAGATCTCCAACCCTGGTACATTCAAATCCATCCTCAAATTCCGCAAATCCAAAAACTATCTAAGTCTTCCAATTGGGGCATTTCTTCCATGGTGAAGCTAAAAAAATAGGTTTAATTTTTGAGTTAAGCTGCATTCGATCCAAAACTACAAATGTTACTCACTAGAAACATCGTTCTCTAATTGCATAGACAGGGCATTCCATAATCTTAGAAACATAAAATTCAACGCAAGCATATAGAGAACCGATGCACCATCACAGGGACTTTGGAATATAAACAAACACGATTTGGTAGACATATAACAAAGTAAGTAGCTTCAAATTCAGATGCAATCATAAGACTACTGATCTAAATTGGATAATTTAAAATAAAATAAAATAAAATAAAAAAAACGTAATATAATAATTAAAAAAAAAAAATTAGGCACAAAGACTGGATGAACTAACCTTCTGGAATTCATGGCTAATGAGATGCGAGTTTGCTCGAACGATCTAATTTGAATCTCTGTATATAACAATGAAATCGGAACTCAGAAATGAGATTACGATTTCTAAATGAAGAAATTTGACATCAAAACATAATAAACAATCCAAATTCAGTGATGTGAACCAAAAAGAAAAGCTAGGGTTTCTTTAACATGAAAAGAGAATTTTCGAAACCGCGGTTGAGTAATTCAAGAGGTGGAGTAGAAGGAGAGAAAAATTTTCTCGGAAAACAATCCTAGCAGAGAAAATGCAGATCTGATGAGAGAGAAGTGGACCTTTGGAGGGAAGATAGAACGTCCGCTTGGACAAACTGAAGGGGATGTGGTAGTAAATACAGAGAACTGTAATTTAGTAGTAGAATATGGGGCCGAAGCGAACAGTATTTTGGAGGAGTTGTAAAAATATACTGTAGCAGATTGATTGGTGGGGTCCAATGAACGGGTGGGATCAATGGCTATTTGTTGAGAATTTTACTGTTTGTATGGGTCCCATTTATTTATTTACGAGTACTTATTTTATGACATCACTCCTCACATATAATGTCTAATTTTTTTTTTTTTTAATGGAGAGATGTTGAGTTAATGACAAATTATTAGATAATTTTGAATCATAAATATATAATAGATTAGTTAAATTCATATTTTTGGATTGACAAAACAGTCCTTCTAGAGTGTATCAATCAATATGTTATAAAAAAATTCTCAACATTAATTTTTATTGAATTAGTTTACAAAATGTCAAATATATAATTTTTTATTATTATTATTATTATTAAATATATATATAATTTATTAATATATATATAATTTATTATTATTATTATTATTATTAAATATATATATAATTTATTATTATTAAATATATATATAAGGAAAGATGTGTCTCGTCCCGAACCTACCATCGGCATCCCTATTTAATTGTATCACAACTCTTATTTTTGTTTGTATTCTCGGTTTCATTTATAACAATTGTAGCACAATATTTTAAAGTGAAAAAAAAAAAAAAAAAAAAGGTTTAGATGAAGCAAGTAGAATATCATATGGTACATTAAAAATGTTATCATGTTTTTGTCTTCTATAAATCTGACAATAAAAATATAAATCAAAATAAATGATTTGACAAAACATTCTATGTATGTGTAATTTGATAAAATTCCAAACAAGGTCAGTATAATCTATCTTATCTATAATGAAAGCATGACAAAGAATTAAAAATGCTGTATATTTGACAGGAAATATATATTTTTGAAAAATCTATTTTTTTAGAAATGGTTGTTGTGCACGTAAAGTGTTATACCACAATGAAAGCCTCCAAATCAAATACATACTAGTAAACATATTGTACTGCAATGAACGAACTACACGTGTAAATAATCCGGCCATCCTTACAATACCATGCCATAATAGTAGGGGATCCCAACTCCACTACTAGTAGGTTTAATTTGTTAGTGGAGAAAGTTAGATTGTGTTTGGAAAATTAGGATTTTATGTTAATTGGATTTCAAAAGGAATATCACTTGTTTAAAATCATGGGATGATTTTGAAAGAAAATGAGATGTGAAGGTATTTCAAACGAAATTTTGAAACCTTGGGAGAGATTGAGGAGTGCTTGGACTTTCAGAATTTTATGTGAACTGAATTTCAAAAGAAATTTCACTTGTACCTAACCATGTGATTTTAAAAGGAAATGAAATTTGAAGGGATTTAAAAATAAATTTAAAAAAAATTTGTAACATTGGAAAATCTAGGAGAAATAAGAAATATGAAAGGATTTGGTAACTAAAATATGTGACAGCAACAAGAGAGAGAAATATATATATATATAAGTGGATAAAGGCAATTAAGACATTAGTGTCCAACAAATAAACAAAACCTTAAAACTTTATCAGCATTGAAGGTGACATTACTCCCACCACGTGTCTCCAACAAGCTTCCTTATTTTTCAAAAAAAAAAGAAAAAAAAAAAAAGGGTACTTAATTGAAAGTTTAGGGTTGTTTAATCTTTACCGTTTGACAACTACAGTTATTTTGTACTTTCATTTTGACTCGAAATAAAAGTAATGTTTCTATTTTAGAATGTGTTTAACATTATTTCGAAATTTCGAAACTTGTTTGGTAACGTAAATTTGTTACAAGATTTTTAGAAGCAAAAATATGAAAGAATATTTGGTAAAAAGAGTTACAAGTTTGAAAATTTGAATGGTTAATTAAAAATATTTGCTTTGCTAGCGGAAGCAAACAAAATTATCATTTTGATACTTTCGATTTTGACCTCAATTTTGAAAGCGCTTTGATATTATTAAAATGACAACAAATATTGTTAATACTTTTGCTTCGCTACAGTATACTAGCAAAAGTAAAAACATATGAAGCAAAAGCATTAGCCAAAAGAACCTTTTTTGCTTTTTATTTTAAAGTATTTTGTTCTATTGTGTTTTTAATAGTAATTGAAAACATGTTTGGTAATGTTCATTTATTGCATTTTATTTTTAAAAAGAAGATTGTTGTAGAGTGTTTTTAATAGGGATCGGAAGCATGTTTGGTAACGTTAATTTGTTGTAAGATTTTTTATTTAGTAAAAAAGTGTTGCAAATTTGAAAAATATAATACTTAGTTTTAAAATGCTAATATTTAAGAATTTTTAATAAATAAAAAAATTTAATGTCCATCACTAAATTAAGTAACAGCGCAGAAACTTATAAAAACACCCATTCACCGCATCAGTGCTTCGATTTTTTGTCACTATGTATAAAATATTTTGATACTATACAAAATAAAACAACTTTTACTAAATACCTTTTTTAATAATTCACTGTTACACTAGCCAACAAAAATAAAAACACCAAAATTAAAAACAAGGCCGAAAGTAAAAACAAGTGTGACACTGACCCCTACTACTTATTGCATTTGATGGGAGTCGTGTCACTTTTAATGTACTTGAAAGTTTAAAATTATTTGAAAGTGTTTTATCCCGCAATAGTGTGGTTGTACCTTTGGTGCGTTGGAACCAAAGCGTGACACTTCCGGTATAATCCTAATCCTAAATTCAATCCTATCTTCACCTCAGACTCAACTCCACCTCAATTATTTTGATCATCCTACTATTTTATCGTTTAGGACCAAGTGACAGAGAAACAAATTAAAATCAAATATCATTCTTAAATTTGAGATAATCTAATATATTACAACTCTGATTTGAGTTTGAATTACTGAATTTAAGAGTTTTTTTTTTTTTTTTTTTTTTTTTTTTTTTTTTTTTTTTGAGTAATGCTCTCTCATGGCATTAGCCAATAGTCATACACATTTAACAACTGAATTACGAATTCATGTTGGCGGGTAAGTTATAATCTGTTTAATAATCATGTTTAGATTAAATTCATATTGGCAGGTTATAATAAAGTCTATACGTAAGTATTTTGCTAAACAGATCAATCTGAACACGACCCGTTTAATAATCGTGTGAGAATTTTCGATCAGACCCGCTTAATAATCGTGTGAGAATTCTCGATACGATTCATTTGTTAAATAGGTTACCCGAATAACTTATTTATTTCGTTTAATTTAATTAAGTCATCTAACCATTTATTAATTTAAGTATAAAAATAAAAAATACAATGAAAAATAGGGATAATAAAAACAAAATTTATGAAAATAAGAATAATTTATGACATAAACACAATTAAAGTCAATTCAAACTCACTAACTTCATATATTATTAGCAGGTCATGTTGAATTTTGCTATCCTTAATTTATAATAATTTTTTAAAATATATGAAAAGTCAAATAAAACATTTAATACATTTTCAATCCAACAATTAAATAAAATTTGGACATTCAACTCTATTTAGATAGGCCCTTTTTCTATCAATTTTGAAATTGATATGTTATACTATAATAATTTTTATAAATTATAAAAATAAAAATATTATTATTAATATAATGCAAATTTATTACAAAACTAGGTTTATATATTGTTATCATTGTATTGTTATCAACAATGATAACTCTCTCTCTATTACTACATATTTTAGATTTGTAAGTAAAAATATTTATATTAATTTAAATACTTATTATAATCATTTCGTATATAAATATTTTTAAAATGTGTAATTAATTACTATATAAAAATATTTTTATGAATCTTGGATTTTTCATTTGATATTTTGATCTGGCCAAATTAGTAAATTACACCTAACCAGGCTCTAATCTTGATTAGACCCCAATTTAAAGAAAGAAAAAAGAGAGGAAAAAAAAAAAAAAGGAAAGGGAAAACCCACACTAGTGTCAAAAGAAGCTTACATTGGAAGCCTCCAGACTCAATATACTGCAACACAAAACTCCTCCATTGCTCTCAGGCTACTGCATGTATATGTAGAGAGAGAAAGAGGAAGATAACTACTCATTGCAGAGAGAGAGAGAGAGAGAGAGAGTGTTACATAGAGAGAGAATGGCAACCCCTTCAAAGCCATGGAAGGCAGAATATGCCAAGTCTGCGAGATCGTCATGCAAGACCTGCAAGGAAAAAATAGACAAAGAGATTTTTAGGCTGGGCAAAATGGTTCAATCCACCCAATTCGACGGCATAATGCCTGTATGTAACATTTCTTTCCGTTTTCCCCATTTTATACCTTAATTTCACTCTTATTTTCCATCTCTCTAGGGTCGATTGTATCTTATACACTTAAATTTATGTGATTCTCTCTCGTTTTTGTGAAAATCTTTATTGTGGGTTTTGTTTGCCTTCTTTCACATTGCTCTTATTCCAACTGATTTTTAGGTCTTGATGTTTATTTTCACATCTTTTCAGCCATTAACATGTTCATCTTGAGGGTACACACACATATTAACGGTTCAGAGTTTATGAATTGATTTGATTAGTGGGTTATTGACAATGTAATGATTCTGGGCCTTTGGTTTCTTGGGCTGATCAGCAAATACTATGCTCTTTTTGTAAACCTTTGCACTTCCTCTAGTGGTTTAGTAAATCATTACACCTAAAGTGTGTACTCTATATTGATTGTTCAATGTTCTCATTTTTTTTTTTCACTCAATGCATGAATTCATTTTTCAATGGAAGAAAACCTGACGTGTGCATATTTTTGGAATCAGATGTGGAACCATGCTGACTGCATTCTGAAGAAATCAAAGCAAATAAAATCGTATGTATTCTATGGTGATTGTTATGATGTCTAGTGAAATGCAATGGATGATCGAGTATCTTGCTTAATGGCTGACTTCTATACTATTTTTATGGTTTTAGCCTTGATGATGTTGAAGGCATAGAATCGCTCCGATGGGAAGATCAACAGAAGATAAGGAAGTACATGGAGGGTGGTGGGCAACAAAATACCCCTGCTCCCGATGCTATGGAATGTGGTGTTGAAGTTTCACCAACTCCCCGTGCTACTTGTAGGCACTGCAATCAAAAGATCATGAAAGGGGAGGTGGGTTATTAACTTATTATGTTCATAATGTTTTTGCATCCTAGTCAGCTGAAGGCTCGAGGATGGAGTCACACCTGCCAACATAATGCCTCATTTTATATCCATTAATTCTTACTGATAGTATGTCTTTTTATGCATAATGTTTACTGGTTTTCAATGTTCCTTGATGAAGCGCAAATTCAATGATTATCCTTGATGTTGTGTCACTACATGAGGGCCCACTTATAGCCATTCCATATTCACAGTGACCTGATTATGGACATGGAAGTAGGTCAGTTTTAGTGTCTTGTGAGTTCACCCATCATTTAGATATAATACACAGCTGAAATGTGTTTATATGAAATACCCGTAAGATTCACTTTATTGTTAGTCAGTTTCTTATATGCACATGTTCTTGGAAGTGTTATATTCTAAGGAAAAATAAGTTGAACATAAAGATGTATATGCTCTTCAATATTATAACTTTGACTGCGTTAGAGGTGTAAGCTTATGTTCAAGAGGCTTCCTAGGGTTCTCTATCCACTTGGTGTGAGTTTGTGACTGATAATGATCTTTATTCTTTTGGAAAATTTTGACTTTAGAGGGGTCATGTCCGTGTTGATGCTTTTCTATAATACAAATTCTTATTGCTTATGCAAACATCAATAAGAATTGTATTTGATTTATTTCCTTATCAACTGACGAATCCGAATTCAACTGAAAAACTATTCTAGATTTGATCATCCCATTATCCTCTCATTTTAATGCAAAATGACAACTTTTACCATTATATTAAATACCTGTTTGAAAATTTGGTTTTCTCGCTCTTATATATGCGTGTGTGTGTGTATCATATATATGATGTGTATATATGTATCTCCCACTTCTAATGTTGATGATCACCTAAATGTGCCTTGTAAGTCGTAAGGCATGTCAGGCACAGTAGCTAGTTAAAATTTTGTAGTTTATTGTTTTATCATATGATAGGTACGCATATCCACCAAGCCTGAAAACAAAGCTGCCAGAGGCTTAGCATGGCACCATGCTAATTGTTATATGGAAATGTCTCCAACCACCCAAGTAGAGAAATTGTCTGGATGGGATAGCCTCTCAGCTTCTGATCAGGCAGCTGTTAGTGCCCTGGTTAAGAAGCTTCCTTCCACCACAAAAAATTGTAAGGAATTTGTTTTCCTATTTCTACTTTTTAACTAAGCCTTGATGCAGCTGTGACCAGTTCTATGTTTCCTTGTCCTTTTAGGCACAAAAGTTGAGCTACAGGAGGATAAAGAACCTTTACAACAATCAACATCCAAAGGTGGTGCTAAACGTAAAAGAGCTGTGAGCAGTGATCAGAAGTCAAAATTTTCTAGAACTAAAGGTGACGCATTGTCTGAAAAGAATGCCACTAAATTGGAGGAAGACTCAAAAACATCTGATTTTGAAAGTAAACTGGAGGCCCAGACTAAAGAACTATGGGCTCTAAAAGACGATCTTAAGAAGCATGTGACAACAGCAGAGCTGCGAGAGATGCTTGAAGCCAATGGTCTAGATTCCGCCGGATCAGAACTTGACTTACGAGACCGCTGGTAAGTTCTTTCATTTGCAATTCTTTGTAGTCATCAATCATCATAAAAGAGCTCTATTTGCTTTAGTTCAATGATTTGTTTCACGGGACCATGTCATAATGGTTTTCTGCGATTTCTGTTTTCCAAGGAAATACTATGGATAATCTTGTCAGATGCAGATAATTTGTTAAAATGACACGAATTTTTATATTTACCTAGCCAGTATCAAACACTAGTTTATTATGCAATGAGAGAGGAGTTTGGGTTTACTTGTGTGTAGAGGTGCTGGTTGTCTTCCTTGTCAGTAACTTCAATTAGTGTTTCAATTTACATAATTGTTAATATTAATATTTTGTTTATCGTAATTACAAATCTCTGGTTCTTTGTTAACTGTTCACTTGTTTTTCATGATATTATATATGTTCAGTGCTGATGGGATGCTTTTTGGAGCACTTAGTAAATGCCCAGTTTGCTCTGGGTGTCTGCGGTATTCTGGAGGAATGTACCGCTGCCATGATTATCAATCAGCATGGACCAAATGTTCATATTCTACCACTGCACCTGAACGCGTTAAAGGGAAGTGGGAAATCCCAGAAGAAACTACCAATCAATATCTTTGCAAGGTATTTAACTTAATCTCATGCTATGTGTCATGCCTGCAAGACGTAACATGGTTTATATGATCATTCCCAGTGGTCTAAGTCACAAAAAGCAAAGAAACCTGTTCGAATATTGCCTCCACCTTCATCCAGTACTCCTTCAGGAAGTCGAGCTGCTAATGGGTTATCTCAATCGTCCAAGGGTGAAAAATTGGGGGATCTGAAAGTTGCTACTGCTGGAGTATCCAAGGAGTCCATGGTATGATTTTTTAAGCCATTCTGCTTGTGTGTTTATTAGATTTCTACCATTGAAAATATCTTTGCCACAGTTGGTTCTGGGCCTCTGGCCTTTACTATGTTTCATGATCAGTCATCAAGGGTGATTATGCAGGAGGAATGGAAGAGCAAAATTGAGGAAGCAGGTGGTCAGGTCCATGCCAAGATCAAGAAAGGTATATGGTCCATGTACTAAGTTTTGGATTAAAGTGCTTGTCTCTCTTTGTTATACTGAGATGCTTTCTATTACTCTTATTTCATAAATTTTAATTGCAGACACGAACTGCCTAGTTGTGGGCGAAGTGATGAATGATCAAGATGCTGAGATGAGGAAAGCAAGGTAAAACTTCCTCTACATTGCTAGCATCAAGTATTTCATTTTAATTTATTTTTACTGAGATGGGTTAAATATTTTTCTTCATAAATTATTCACCTGACTTAGATGGTTTCATCTTGACAGGAGGATGAAATTGCCTATTGTTAGGGAGGATTATCTGGCTGATTGTGTTAAAAGACAGAAGAAACTTCCTTTTGATTTGTACAAAATTGAAGGCATTGGAGAGTCTTCTAGCTTGGTCACTGTTAAAGTGAAAGGACAAAGTGCTGTGCATGAATCATCTGGGTTGCAGGATTGTGGTCACATCCTTGAGGATGGGAAAAGCATCTACAATACGACTTTGAACATGTCTGACCTATCAACCGGTATTAACAGGTGGATCTAATTTCTTTTATATCTCTTGCTTAGGAATTTTTTCTGTATTGCGTTAATCACTGTAGCTTTAACTAGTTGTTGGTTTATTCGAGTAATGCTATTGGCTCAAAGATGAACTTGAATTATAGGATCTACGCTGATTACCTGGGAAGGTTTCTCAGCGAACAGAATATTTGGAGTTTTTTTTTTTTTTAATCTTTTTTAGAATCTACTAAGGTTTGTATATTGTACAGGATTTATGCTGTTTACCTGGTAATGTTTTTTCATGGACAGTTTTTTTGGGTTCAGATTTTTATCCTATAATCTGCTAACTTTAATGTGTTGTGGTGTTTGGGATTTTAATGGAGTTTGGTAGTTTTCAGTGTTCACTGTGGTGGATTTGAACCTACATTCTCATTTCAATTCAGACAATGTGATAGTTTCCCAGTTGTCATACGTTCCGTTTCTAAGAGCTGCATACCCTTTTCTGCTGGAAACTAAATGCTATGGATATTATCGGCAATGCATGGTGATATACCGATATCCTGTGCTATGGGATTGACGGTTCTTTACAATATGTGAAATTAAACAAGAATGTTGGTTTTCTTTCTTACTGATGATTTTGTTGTATAAAATTATTATGAATACGGTTATATGACCATGATGATATGCTTCTGGTGGTATGTTTTCTAAATGTGGGGACTTTTAAACTTTTATTTTATTTTATTTTTATTTTTATTTATTATTATTATTATTTTTTTTTTATGTATGAAACTACTGGCAAAGGCGGCTTCTGAATTAATCTTTGCCTTTGTCAATTCCACTTCCTTGCCCTTGCCATTTTGTCTTATTAAATTATGTCTCTTGGTTGTATTGCTGTATGTAGTTACAATATCTATCATTACATTCAAAGGGGACTTCTGAATTAATATTTTGCCTTTGCAAGTTCCTACTTCCTTGCCCTTCTATTTTTGTCTCAGCATATTTTAACTCTTGGTTGTTTTACTGTATGAAGTTACTATATCCTCCAAATCATTCAGGAAGATAAAGGAACAGATTGTTATGTTTTCCGTAAATGGGGTCGTGTTGGAAATGCAAAAATTGGAGGAAACAAGCTAGAAGAGATGTCTAAATCAGATGCAATCCTACAATTTAAACGTTTGTTCCTTGAGAAGACTGGGAATCCATGGGAGGCATGGGAGCATAAAAAAGATTTTCAAAAGCAACCTGGCAGATTCTTTCCTCTGGACATTGTACTGTTGATTGTTCTCCCTGATCTATTTTTTTTTTTTACCCAAATGTGAAAGATCCTTCATCTGGTGCTCTCTTTTATTTTTTTATTTTATTTTATTTTTTTTTCTCTTCCCTGTTTTCCTAATACTAAAATGTTGGATTTTTTAGGATTATGGGGTTAATAAAGAGTCCTCCAAGAAGAAAAATCTTAATGACGAAAAAAGTCAACTTGCTCCCCCGTTGGTAGAATTGATGAAGATGCTCTTTAATGTGGAAACATACAGGTTACACCAGATTACTTCTCATTCATTTTACATCAACACCGACCACCTCCCCCCCCCCCCCTCCTCTCTCTCTCTCGAGAACGTGTCTTCAGGAACTACTAATTTTGCAGAACTGCAATGATGGAATTTGAGATCAATATGTCAGAAATGCCACTTGGAAAACTCAGCAAAAATAATATCCAAAAAGGTACTGCCTTCTCTTTTCCCCCTTAAACAGAATGCCTTTTTGTTATAGGTATTTTTAAGTAAATGTTGGCTAAATTTTAAGATGCTTTATTTTAACTTCTAAAATACTTCTTAAATATGTTTTCTGAAGGTTTTGAGGCATTAACGGAGTTACAGAATCTATTAAATAATAATGATCACAGTCCTTCTATCAAAGAAAGTCTGATTGTTGATGCAAGCAACCGATTTTTCACTGTGATTCCTTCCATTCATCCACATGTGATTAGGGACGAGGATGATTTTAAGTCAAAGGTACAAGATGTTCTGGATGTTAATGCATCTTCCATGTTTTGCACATTTCCAAGTTCTGTTGTCTCTTTTGTGCTTGGTTAATGACAAAATTACAAATGACATAAGTGCTGGAAAATATGTTTTACCTGTTGTATTCATCTTCATCTTTTTCCTTCTAACAAATATTATAATTACAATATCCTCATCTCTTTTGTTATTATGATTTTGGGTGAAATCCTAGCATGAAGCTTTAATCCATAGGGGAACCGCATCTCTTCTTTAGCTGTTTTTGGCTATCAAAGGCTCAAGTCTTGAAACTTTCGGGTCAGCTAGATTCCACTGGGCAAACTAGGTCTGCGATACATATCACATGAAAAAAAGGACTAGTAATATGTTTGATTGTTATTTGTTGGGTTTGTGTCTCAAATTCATCAAGAATGTTGTCTTGAAGAAGTCCGACCGGTCCAACTTGTTCTTGTCGTAGCTTGGGCTGTAATCAAGCTGAGCCAAGCTTCGAAGTGTTCGGGCTCGACTCGTCAAATTCTAGGTATGTCCGAGCTTGGCTCATGTTCGCACGAGCTTTTCCTTGCTATGATTGAGCTCGGTTTGATAACGTTCGAATGAAATCGAGCTCGGCTCGATTGCTCATTTATGCCTATCAACAGGTATACAATCTGTGTATACATATATATTTGTTATATATAATAATCACGGCATACAATCTGTGTATACATATATATGAGTTTATATATATCATAATAGAGAGAGATGACAAAGGAATTTGCGAAAGCAAGAGAAAAATTGAAGAGATATACGTGAACCCATTTGGAAATCAACTTGCACTAATGGGCCTAGCGGTATCAGATTCTTATTTCCCAAAAGGAGGTCAGGGGTTCAAACCTTAGTCGAGGCATGGGTGTGTCAGTACCAGCTAAGAAAAAAAAAAAGTCACTATTTGCAATTGTGTTGAGTGTTGTCCGTGTGTTGGTCGCCGACAGATGGTTACTGATTTGTGTTGCAGCGTGGTGAGATCTGGGCAGTCGTCGTCGTCACTGCTTTGCTTGAATAATTTTAGGTCGTGTCCAGTGGAATGGGGAAAAGGGGGATTAGGGTTATGCAATGGACTATGGGCCAGGTAAAGTATATGGGCTTGGGAATGTTTTTTTTAAAAGGCATAAAATTGTATAAATATTATTGGGTTGGATTGAGTTTGGGCTAGGTCTAGTTATGAATTGAAATGAAAATAAATAGCCTTTAAAAAACATTATTCATGGGCTTGGAATTTTTTTTATATAAATTATAAAAGTATATATGTACACATGTTCTCGGACTTAAAATGAGCATATAAACAAGCATATTCACGAATGTGTTCATGAACTAACGAGCCGAGCTGGAGTGTGTTTGAGATTGGCTCGTTTATTAATCGAGCTTATAAAATTTGTTCAAGCTTGGTTCATTTATTAAATAAACGAACACGAACCAAGCCCTTAACGAACTGAGCTCAAGTTCGTCAAACGTTTGGTTCGCTTGCTGCTCTAGTCGTAGCACTTCGCTAAGTCCGACCGGTCGTACTTGCCTGATGAGTTGCGGATCTGCTTTCTTAAATATAAGTTGTTTCTTATTAGGTTTCTATTATTAGAGTTGTGATTGATTTGGTAACTTCTTGTTAGACAAGGTATGAGAATCCTTGGTCAAGAAGGAATGGGTTGAAGACTCTATAAATAGAGGCGGAGTTGGGTGGAGAAGGTAGAGAAGAAACATGGGTTGAAATGGTGAGTGTTATGAAGAGAAGAGATAGTGTGTGTAATTCCCAAAGGAGAGATGCAGCCCCAAAAGATGATGAGTGAGAGAGTGGAAGGTGGGCAATCTCTAAGGTTGTATTTTTTCTTCATGATTCATAATTCTTCTCTCTGTGGTTGTAGCCCCAAAGGATTGGGTGAACCATGTTAAATATTGTGTTGTGCTTGATTGGTGTATGATTGTATCTCCATATATGCATGTTTGATGGTTGTGTGACGATATGCTTCCGTTGTGCTTGAATTAAGGGGGATTTAATTCCCAACAACTGGTATCAAAGCTAGTTGGATGGAGTTAATATTCCTAACATTATTTATAGATTTTTGTCATGAATATCAATTTGGGTCCTAACTATTGACTATGAGCACACACTTCTACATTCTTCATTGCTATTTTTTTAAAAAAATATCTCATGATTTTTTACAATTATGTAATTTTGTACAATTGCATGATTTGAAAAAGGTTGTATACAAGTCACCAAGAATGAGAATGCATGTTTGATTACAAGGGTAAGTGAACGGTTAGGTCTATATCTAGTTTGCTTCTCCCAAGACAACCCCAATTAATAGGGACACTCCCAATACCCCCAGTTAATGGAGACCACACTGTGTAATGGCCTTCTAAAAATGCCAGAAGCAAGCTATGGTTTTATATGTGTAATATGAGTGAGTGTGCATATGTTGTGCAAATCACATATGTATCTTTGTTCATTACATTTGATTATTATTTTTCTCTACCAGTGGTGGTGAATATGGGGTTTGCTCACTTTCTTATATATATTCTTTTGCTCTCAATTTTATTAACGGTTCGATGAAGATATCTTTTGATAATCACTTTGTGCAAATAATGTCAGAGGTTAGGTCATACCTAGTCTGCTTCTCCCAACACCCCCAGTTAATAAGGACACTTCCAACACCCCCAGTTAACAGGGACTACACTGGGTAATGGCCTGTTAAAAAAATACAGGAAGCAAGTTTTGGTTCTATAGGTATGTGCTTATAGTGTGTGTATGTTGTGCAAACCACGTATTTATCCATGTGCATTACACTTTGATTATTGTTTTCTCTTCTGTTGTTGGTGAAAATGGGGTTTATGGGGTGGCTCACCTTAAATACCGTTACGGCAAACTCAGCAAACCAAGAACAAAACAAGAATCATGACAGGAAAGTAAACACACCTCACACAAAGAACACAAAAAATTTACGTGGTTCGACACAAGTTCTGCCTACGTCCACACTGAATATCCGGTGAAATATTTCACTATGCTAAAAATTGGAGATTACCACCCCCCCCATTCCCCCCCAAAAAAAAAAAACCGTACTCTCACTATCTTTCCTGTGAGTTTTCAGTGTTGTCTCATCCTTCCAGTCCAAACCCTAAGCACCCTTATATATCGGGCTACAACAGAGTAGTACTAAACAGGGTCCGCGACCCGCAAGCGAAAACACAGACCATAACATTTTTCACAAATTGAGAGGGTCGGTGTAGTTGAATAAGAAATCCTTGATACATAATAAATAATCTACTATGGATGCTCCATAAATTTATGGAATTAGAATCCACAGTTTCTTAAGGTTGGTGTAGCTATACAAAAAACCTTTGATTGATAACAAGTTAAACAAACTATTTTTGGGACTCCATAGCTAAATGGAACTGGTTAGTCTTTCTGAATCTTGAAAGAGAGAATATAACTGGGATTATTATGTGGTTAAAATATACGATTTGATTAGCTATGTTAAGAAGGAGATGGCTGAAACAATATAATTTGGAAAATGATATTCAGGTCGACTAGTTAGGCCTATTTGTCGAAGTGAAACAATAAAGGCCATTGATGGCCTGAAGTGGGACCTAATCATGATTCATATAATTTTGTTTAAAGTTCTATTTCTGTCAAAGGGCATTTAACAATACACATGTTTGGTTTGATTTTAGTAAACCCTTCACAAAATAATAATACTGGAAGAATTCAATAGTCAGTAACTAGAAACATATTCCAAGAATTGTATTGTGGAAGTTGTGTTGATTTTGTTCTCAGCAGAGACTGTTCTTACATAATGAAGAATAAGACTGAATTGTGGCTTGTATCAGAAATTAGGGACACAAGAAAATCTTGAAGCCATGTTTGGACTTTAGTTTTAATACATGTTTTTATTTAGTTTCAGCATTTATTTGTCCCAGTTGAAACATAATAGATTGAAAAATTATTGTACTGTAAACTGAAAATAGTTATATTGAGATGGCTTGAAAAAGGAAATGGTTGCTGGATTTATCTTGCAACACCATCCGGGCTTAATTACTCAAGTTGCTCGGGGAAATTGAAGCGTGTGTTTCTTCATATATTAAAAGATAAGCTGCCAACTTAATAAGACACCAAATGCTTCAATATTTACCGCTAAGAGCTAGCAAGTGAAAAGTGTTTGCCGAGGTTGATATGCCAGTAAATATGAGGAGCTTTGAGCCTGTGACTGTTTTATGTAAATTAACATTTCGCCTGCCTCATGCCTCTCTTCTCTCTCTCTCTCTCTCTCTCTCATTGTTTTGGCAGGTGAAAATGTTGGAAGCTCTTCAGGATATTGAAATAGCTTCCAGACTGGTAGGTTTTGATGCTGAGAATGATGACTCCCTCGATGAAAAGTATAAGAAGCTCTGCTGTGATATTGCCCCACTTCCTCATAATAGTGAAGATTATCTGTTGATTGAAAAGTATCTCCAAACTACTCATGCCCCTACACATACGGTGGGTCTTATATCTGATACTTTGTGCACTGAATGTGCACTGCAGTGGTGTAGAAAATGATTTTAGTGATGTAGTATCAGCACCTGTCTTTATCACTTAGTTTCTTGTTCTTTGTATTTATATTCTATTTAATATATACACCAAACTTTGCTATATTCTCAGGATTGGTCTCTTGAGCTGGAAGAAGTTTTCTCGCTTGAAAGGGAAGGGGAATTTGACAAGTTTGCTCCTTACCGAGAAAAACTTTCAAACAGGATGCTTCTCTGGCATGGTAAGTTAAAAGCTGTACTATTGTATAGAATGAAAAATTTCAAGTGTGGAATGTATAAAATTATAATATAATTAGTTTTTGCAACTAGCTAAAAACCTATGTTGGATACCTGTGGAGTTCTAGGTTATGAAAATAGAATAAGAGGCAGAATTAAAAATTTGTGATTGCTACAGGTTCTCGGTTGACAAATTTTGTGGGTATACTTAGCCAAGGACTAAGAATAGCTCCTCCTGAAGCTCCAGCGACTGGCTATATGGTTATACCTCTCTCTCTCTCTCTCGATATATAGATATAGATATATATATATATATATGCATGTATGTGTGTGTGTGTGTGTATATTAGACATCTACACATGCATGCACAAACTCATAGAGAGCTGATATACTTTTCCATATTTCTGTTCAACTAACTGATAATAAAAAATTTATAATGTGCAGTTCGGCAAAGGAGTTTATTTTGCTGATCTGGTCAGTAAAAGTGCTCAGTATTGTTTTACCGATCGGAAGAATCCTGTGGGTTTAATGCTTCTTAGTGAAGTTGCCTTGGGAGAAGTTTATGAGATCAAGAAGGCCAAGGTGAGTCCACATTCCATTATGTGCATGCATTTTGCTAATGGATTCAAAATTGTTAAATGTACATTAGCATTCATGTGCATTGTATAATATCTTGAATCAGTGTATGGCTGCACTCTTTCCTTGCAGCCTCGTGTACCAAAGGTCACCAAGTTGAAACGGTTTCTCGCTAAAAAAAAAAATTGATAAAAAAATAAAAAAAAATAAAAATGGAAGTATATTTCATGTAGCAATATTCTTTTCCACAAGCGTTGTAAGAAACAGTTTGGCTCATATGCATTGAACTTGCCTTTCTCCTTTTGGTGTGCGTGTCTTCAAATTCCTTTGAAGTTAACTTGTGTAATTTAAATGCCATTTAGTATATGGATAAACCTCCTAAAGGAAAGCACTCTACTAAAGGCCTTGGCAAGAAGGTACCTCAGGAATCAGAATATCTGAAGTGGAAGGATGAAGTCGTTGTGCCTTGCGGAAAACCAGTGCCATCAAATGTCAGGGCATCAGAGCTGATGTATAATGAGTATATCGTCTATAATACAGCTCAAGTAAGTAGTGGTTTACATTTATTTGACTTATGGTTTTTTATCATTCTTGTTTACCAACCCATTAATAATTAACCATTTCTATATATTTGTCTCTAAACCTAGCTGAACAGTAGTTAGTAGTTTAGTATATGGGAATAGCCGAGTTTCTCCAGTTTTAATAAGGAGCCGGTTCTGTTTCATTATGCTTTAGTTGAAGGTAGTAACTTAATCGCTCTGTCACTATTACTGCTGGTAAGTTGTCCATTGACTCCCAAGTGCATAAAACAATAACTGGAGAATCTTTATAGGAAAATGTTATATATCATTTTCAGTGTCAGTTATGGCACTGATTTTCAGTTAAATTGAGGTTATCATTAAAAGAGAGGAGTTTTCAAAATTGGAGGAATTATTTTGTAGGAGAAGTTTGAAATCTATTGAAGCGGGAAAGGTATTACCTTGGCCCTTCATCTAAAGGAAATTTCCAGATCATATCAAAATTATTAAACTGGCTGCCATATCAGTTCGACACAGTTGTGCATTCACCAAGTTAATTTGCTTTTAGGGTTAGAGTTGCCAGCAGCAACAAAGTGATTGAAATTGATAATGGTCAACTGCCTAGAATTTATTATTTATTTCAATTATTTATATTTCAATGAAGTTGTTTCTTTTGTTGTGTTTGATGATGCTTAGTAATGTGCTAAGTGGATGAATTTGGAATTGGTTTCCTGTTCAGGTTAAGATGCAGTTCCTATTGAAAGTGAGGTTTCATCACAAGAGGTGAAGTGCCACAGGTAAATAGATGCCTATAATGTGTGGTAGTGTAAAAAGTGTTAGTGGGCCTTTTTGGTTTCCGGTGCTCAATCTTTTTGGCAGGCAATATGTTGAGTACTGTGTAGCTACTCTGCAAGCAAAACTTAGGACTTTGTTTTATATTCCATGACAATTCCTCCTACTTGGTAAGATCTCATTTTGAAGTTTGCTGGAGATCTTTCATTTCTTGTAATGTACATGTCTGTGATTTATGGGAAGGAGAACTGTTTTGAGTATTTTCAACCGATCCTTCAATCAATGGTGTTTAGCGCAACTATTATGTAGAATGCCTCCCCTTATTAATAGCAAGAAGTTTGCATCTTTTGAGAAATTAGTAAATGGTTTAGTAGCATTTCAAGGGGGCATTCTTAAACTCAGATCTAGATGTAATGAATCTATTGTAACTTGAGACACCAATTAGAAAACTGGACTTGACTGGTTCCTTGAGCTGGTAATATTAATTCCTCCAAATGGCCAGTTTTGGCCTTTAGCTCAAGTTGCCTGCCTATCTGTTCTAAGTAAGCTTATCGGGAGCCCACAGTTCTTTCGATGTTGAGTATTGAATCAACCCTTCTGTGTGTGTGTGTGTGTGTGTTTTTGTGTTATTGAGAGATAACCACCTCATTTTGTCCCTGACTTTTGATCTCATGAACTGGTTTTTTCATGTGGCTCTACATTCATATACTTTTTCTAGTCCTGACCAAATCCATCACTCCCTCCTCTCCTCACCATCCACCCATCACACAAAAAGGGCAACGGGCCCTCCCAGTGCACGAGGCTCCCGCCATTGCCAGTGTGGAAAGGGTCAGATGTATACAGCCTTACCTCCACATCCGGTGAGGCTGTGGATGTGGAGCGACCTTACTATTGCGCCAAGGCTTGCCCTCACCCATCACACAGCCCTAAAAATTAAAAAAGAAAAGGAAAAAGGGAGGAATAAGTCATAGTTCATTGATGTTATAATTTAATCATTATATTACTCTGGAACCTAGTGCAAGTGATATATCTTGTGATTGCTGGCAGTTTTAGTGACATGGGATGGTGGTGTGGGTTTTAAGCTTTTGTTCTTTAAAATTATTGTAGGCAGCTTGCATGTGTGCCACGTGCATAGGTGATGATGGTGATAGAATGGTACTAAATGTTAAGTATGTCATATTTGGTTGAGTAGATTTGAGGGAATGTAAAGATGATAGCTCACAATCGATCATAGCTTAGTGTGTGTGCGCGCGCGCTATATTTATAGGTATAGGGGTTGAGATTGAATATGTCGAGAAAGGTAGATGATATATATGGTTGGTTCCATTCAGGTAAGAACAATAACATGGGAATACCCTTTTTTGTGCATACTGCCATTTTCCTTTGTTAAGCTGACGAAACCCACTCTTCTTTTTGTGACTGCCCTCTGCTTCATGTGATGTATGCTGCCTCATTATTTTTGGTCAGGAACATGTGGCTGCTGTTGCATCATATAGATCTCCCTCCCCTCTGTCTCTCTCTCTCTCTCTCTCTCTCTCTCTCTCTCTCTCTCTCTCTCTATATATATATATATATATATATATATATATGTATGTATGTATGTATTGAAATAGATATTTCAAAGAGAAAAAAAGAGAATTTAATTATGTTACATATAGAATTACCCTTGTTAAGTGGATGTTTAGTGTTTACTTTCTATATCAAAGAATCCAGAGTGAACTAAATTTTCTCAAATGGAGGATTTGGAGCTAGACCCAATCTATTAACTGCTATACAAGTGAGCTATTGAGAACGGTGTTATTTTCAGGAGTCCCCATTTGGTTTGTTTCCTAACAATTTTCTATCCTCGGTGAGAAAAAAAGTTCAAAAATTATGTTTGCTCGAGTGTTTACCAAAACTGTTTTTATGGAACCATTGGCTTAGCACATGCCCTACGTTCCTAAACCCTAGGTCAAGATTTCGCAAGGAACGAAAAATAACCAATGTCTTGCACAAGCGGTTTTGGGCGGAGACAGGACATGTTATGGGGTGGGAGGGTACTCCGTTTGAGCGGCGTTTGAGTGGGAGAAAAGACCACAGATTGAATTGGATTTGTTTGGTGGAATTGTGGACTTGCTTTCAAAGTATGCTTTCCGTTAAATCTATTTTGTTTGATTAGAGTAATGAAGCATTCTACACGAGGGTGTCACAAGTTCAATAACTCAAATTAAAGCAAAGGGGCGTTACTCTTTGAAAGAAAGAAAGCAACACTGACTTCATGACCATTTTGTGATTTCAATTTCCAAACTTCCTAACTAAAAAAAAGCATAAAAGTTTCTTCTTTTTCTTCACCAAGCTCCAAAGTCAAATAACCATTTAAGTGTCACCTTTATTACACTTTAGATATCTATAATCTATGTGTGTGTGTGTTTGTATATGTATGCAAATATAATATACACACACATATTCGAAGTTCCAATAGTACCCACTCCTATTTTAAGTCTCTTGATTCTTTTCTTGGTCATTTTTTATGCCAATTAAACCACTAATGCTCAATTAATTAATGGTCATAGAAGCCCAACAGGACACTATTGTTCAATCAAAAAAGTCCAGTCTTTAAAGTCTCTCTATATTGAAATTTCTAAAAGCAACAAATAACAGCAGTTTCAAGGTGCGGCGTTCGGCGGAAAAATTACATATAAAACAATGAAATCAAATGTAGATTAGTGAAAAGAAGGTGCCAAATTAGCCCCACTTTATACACACACACACACACACATGTATATGTGTTGCACAGTCTATCTATTCATCAATTAATCGTATTTATTGAATCAAGAAGTTAATCTTACTTAAGTTATAACATCCTCATATTTGTTGAATCTAAAGATTGACTTTAGAGTTGATCTACTCAATATGTATATGTATATGTGTATATATATATATATCTATATATACTCGCGTGTATATATATGTGTGGTATATTTGTAACTTGGTGTAAGCCATTAATAAAAGAACTATTACCAATTTGCATCAACCATTAGTAAGTGTTCCCTTAAAACCCTACACAATGACCTCCCATGTCCCCATAGAGACCTCCTTATAAAGACCCCCCTACAGGCTCCACTTTCCCCTAGCCATCCATACCTCACCCAGCTCCTTCACTTAGCACCATTTCCTAGTGTGCCCGTGTGCCCAATTTTTCTTTTAACCCTCTCCCTCTCTCTCTCCTCTCTCTCTCTCTCTCTCATGGCTGCTGCAACTAGTGGCACTGGCTCCCCTTGTGGTGCATGCAAATTTCTCCGGCGGAAGTGTGCCGTGGACTGCATTTTCGCGCCATACTTCTGCTCGGAGCAAGGGCCGGCCAGATTCGCAGCGATTCATAAGGTGTTTGGTGCTAGTAATGTGTCAAAGCTGCTGTTGCATGTCCCGGTGGCTGATCGCTGCGAGGCGGTTGTCACAATTGCTTATGAAGCTCAAGCAAGGATTAGAGATCCTGTTTATGGATGTGTCTCCCAAATCTTTGCCTTGCAACAACAGGTTTTTGTTGTTCTTTTGCCATAGCTACTGTTACATTAATACCATTCTTCAACTTCCCTATATATATATATATATATATATATATGGGCTACTTTATTCTTTTACATGATTGATGATAGTTTGATACAAAAAATTGTCCCTCAAAACAAGTAAAAAAGAGGGTCATGCCAAGAGTTTGGGTTTATTAATGGAGAGTGAGGAAACCCTTAATTTGGTTACTTAACCAACTAATGAGCCTTCACCTCACCCAGTGGTGTAATTGAACACACACACTCTTACTGAGTTAAAACGGTTAGTTCAGTACATGAGACTCTTGTCATTGTAGGATCTGAGACGTAGGTTATGTCATTGTAGAATCTGAGACGTATATAACCTACCTCTGTTTACAGATATGATTTATGTTTCGAACTTGTGACCTCAAGATTACAATAAAATAACTTTACGCTTGTGTGAACACTAGTCCTCACCGAAATGCATATATGCCTTGATTTTATAAATTTACTAACCCCAACAACCCCCAACACACACACACAATAATAAGCTATATTTTCCACCAGCATGAATTTGTCTATCTTGTTTTTATAAATTTATTATTGAAAGATAAGTTGGTCCCTATATAGTAGTATATATATCAATGAACTAAGAACAGTTATTATTTTTCTAATAGGTGGCATGCTTGCAAACACAGCTGATGCAAGTGAAGGCTCAACTGGCACATAACCTAATTGATTTGAGGAATGTAGAGAGTCAATGGCCGGGGAACATGGCCGGAACGCAGTCTTTTCCGGCTCATCCGATTCACACGATGATGAACTCTTTCTCACCTCAGAGCTCACTTGAGTCGATTGATCACACAATTGATGGTCTGGCAATGCAAGAAATAGAAAGCAGGGTTGAACCTTCATTCCAACCTTACAGTAAGAAGAGACCTTCTCAGAATGACTTGGGTGAGCTTCAAGAACTGGCTCTTAGGATGATGAGGAACTGATGGAGTTATCATGTTTCTTGTATGAAATGTGATGTTGACAATAGTACTGATCTATGCCTTAATTAGTGATGTATATACAGAGACTATGGAGAAACTTCTTATAATGTTATAAGCCTAAATTAGGCATTTTCTGTTTAGTTTTCACAAATGCTATGTTTAACTAATTTCGATTTCAAATTCAAGGCTCACAACTGCATTAATTTAGAATTGACCTCTCTCCTTGTAAGTTTTTTTTGGATAATCGGACGTTTGGGGCTTTGTTCCGATTAATTTATGGGATTCGTACAAAGCGTTTTTTTATACAAATCAGATAAAGTTCGGACTATATCTGCGATTACAGTGTCTAGAGAATTATTTACACCTAAGGTTTTGAAGTTTGGGTCATATCTTGAAATTTTTCTATTTTTTTTAATCCACCCCTATCAAGTTCAGTACATATGTTGCATATTTTATATAAGACATGTATAATTGAAGTTTGAACTTTATTGTGTCCTATCCCAAATGGAGATTTAATAAGCAATAGCCAATAGGTAAGGTTGGAGGGGTTCTAGAAGATGACACAAAATTGATTTAGACTATTTTTAACTATAGCTTGATGAGTCACTTTGTTATAATAATTCATATTGTTAAAGATGTTTGATTGCTACTAAAAACTATTAAACTAATTGAATTGGCATAATCAATTTCACCACCAAGAAGTGAGTTTGAACTGGGTAACTCACATAAAACCAAGATAAAGTAATATACCTTATGTTGTGGGGTTAAAAACACAAAATTTCCTGTCTTTTACAAAAATTACATATAATTTTCTTAATTTTTAAAAAATTCCTGAACTAACATAACCTTTCTATTACAGATATGTTAAGTGATTGAGAAATAAAAAAAATACCCTTGATGTTATATTAAAATAAAATTGTGAACTTAAAATGACAATTATGCCCTCATATGAAAAAATATATTATTCGGCTGTGTCGTGTGGGGGGTGCATACCCTCCATGTGAAACAATTTCGTGTGAGTTGTATAATGTAATAAAACGATTTTATACCCACTCGGCGACGGTGCCGACACTGTCGTCTCAGGGTTTAAATTTAGCCTGCAGGGATTAAATTTAATTCCACCTGCAGAATTTATGAATATTTACAAGACACGATTTCTGTTAGCATGCAAGACAAATTCTTTTACCTCCGGAAAGATTACTTTGAAGGTAGGTTGCAGGGGAGATCTTTCTAAGAAGATGAGAGATTTATTTTTTTCCTTGGACAACATGAACAGTCTCCTTGAGTATTGTAATGGTCTCCTCATTATACCATGTATGATTGATGTTAAAAGTACAAATTACAAGTATTACCGTATCTATTCAAAATTATATTACTCTGTATTTCTAAATCTATGCTTGCACCGGACGGTGACTTCTTCGGTGGAGGTGGAGGTGGAGGAGCAAGTGGGTCTCTGGGCTTTGGCGGACGTCCTCTCGGCCACGGCGGGGAAATTAGCGCGCCCAGCGGAGTTGGGGCCTTGGGCTTTGGGGGACAGGCTTGACCATGATGAGCTGACCACTCTGCTTCATCTTGTACGAATGGTGAGAGAGAAGGGTGGTGTGCGCCGGAGGGAGCTCGCTGTGGGCTGACTCGATGTGCTTCGAGATCACCGGCTTGTTCGAGCCGTTCTTGTCGTTCAAAGCCTCGATCGCTGCCAAAATCATCTGTTGAAACAACAAAAGTCTGAGGTATAGAGGATGCAGCAGGTGCCGGCGGTGCATGTGTTTGTGTGTGAGAGAAAGATAGAGAGACAGAGAAAGAGAGGAGACGGTAGAGGAGGGCAATTTCGTCATTTTGAGAGAACAAGGGTATTTTGCTCTTTGTAATGCTGTATATGATGCCGTTAATTTTAGAGAGTCAAGTGATGAGGGGTTGATATGATATATTTTTAAAAATAAGAAGGGATAATATGATAATTTAAGTAGTTGATGGGATTAATAAATAGCTTTTGTAAATAACATGGGTTTTATGTTTTTAGTCCTGTGTTATATTTGAATACGAAATTGATATCTCAAATTTAGAATTAGAAAAAGTTTAGTCCAAAATTTATATTAAATTTTTTTCAATTTAAAATCTAATACGGGAATTCAATGCTGCAAAACATGACATCGGTTCTTTAAATGCCATGTGAAATCCGGCGTCATCTCTACTGGTTAGTTCCTCGATCCGGGGGTCTGGGAAGAGGGCGACAGCAGGAAGGAGAAACGTTCCACTCCTCAAGGATTCTTCTGGAAGTGCTGCAGTTATGTAGTTGGAGAATGGAGGTTATGGTTGAGCAGACCTTAATTGTTAAGGACGGACTGTTCTTTGAGATATTTCTTGTTTTTGAAGATCCTATCATCTCTCTTTTTCCATATATGGTACACTAAAGAGGAGAATCAAATTGTATTATATGTCCTTGGTTTGAGTAATTAAATCTCCTCTCTAAGTAACATGATGACTTTGTTTTATCTGATTAAGTAGGGATTAGTGAATAGGTGAATGCTATCATTATTGTTGAAAGGAAAGACCACCTTAAAGGTAAGTTGCAAAAGGGCCCCACTTGCCTAGGGTTTGTTTGTGTTGTGATTAGGTACGTTTACCTAACATAAGCAGTACTCTTTATAATTTTAGTACCAGTATCATATGACATTGTATTCAAATGGATAGACAAAATGTTCCCTTAATTGAATGCACAGGGCTACATCATGAGTTCATGGTCTTGCCAAACTTCTATCATGTATAAACCCAATTATGCTAATGGAATTGATTGTCCATTTAATACAATGATTAACATAATTGCCAAATTAATTAACATATTGGCACCACTTTTTAATTAGTTTAAGTCATATAACATGACATGTTAAGGAGGAAATTGGTTGATGCAGTGGAGAATTAAAGTTCGAATCGACAAGTGTGTTGTTGCAGATTCAAGTATTAATAACTAGCAATTGCGTGAACAAAAATAATGTCAGAAGTTTGATAAGTCTCGATTCTCCCCTTCTGACACTCCGATCACACTAAATAATGACCATTTATATATTATTATATTATAATTTTTTGCTTGTTTTGAATACGAGGTTACTTTACAAAACCCTTGCAATTTTTTTTTATTTTTTTTTACATTTTACCCCCTTGTACTATTAAACCACTCTTTGAACTAACGAATGTTTATATACAAGGCAAATCATCATTGAAGTGTTAGTTGGCAGTTGAAATCACCACAATGGACCTCGTTTGATGATAAAGGGTATTTTCGTCCTTTAAGTTACAACGGTTGCTAGAAGGGTTTTCAAGCCGTTAAAAAGCTTTGAGGCATATAACATGACCCTCTAAGTTAATTGCCATGTATATTATCATAAATTGAACTATTGCACGGCTTGTAATATGCCACATCACTCAATAACTAAAATTGCTTGAACTGACATAGGTTTTGAACACCGGTTAATAGATTTAGTGAATTATAAGTTATATATCTTTAAAAAAACATTACATGTCAATCTTTTAATAATTCAATTTATGATAATACATAGAGATTCAACTTAAAAAAACTATTAACGCAGATACTAAATTATCGTCAACTTTAAGGAGCGCATTGATCACTTTAATAGTATAAGAGGGTAAAGTGCAATGGGATATTTTAACACCTAATATTAATGATCACCCATGTAGTCAAATTAAGAAAGCAAAGGTATTTAACACATTGTCACATAAATTGACTAGGGTTTCCTTATATGGTACCATAGTGCCATAGACCTAGATTGAGAGAGAATAATAACTTAACAAAAATGGTTTTTCTCAATCATATAAACGTGTGCAAGATTGTCCAAACCAGCCCTCTTCAGATAGAAACCTAATGCAAATGTTCTTGTTAATTCTACATTACTCTTTCAAGGCTTTGGTTCTAGTGGTCATGAACAATCTTAAAAACAGAAAGTAGATAGATGGGGGGAGAGAGACTAATTAAGAAATGTAGTCAATGAGCTTTGGTTAAGGATTGATTATTTTAATTAAATTAATCTAATATTTTTTTTTCTTCGAGCCCATGGCCATGACATATAAAACAATATACCAATCTTGTCAAGCGGCAAGTAATCACTTTCAAACCTCATTTCGGCATTAAACAATTACAAATAGAGGAAAAGGGTTTTGTAGGAAATGAAAAAAAGCGAGTCAAGGATTCATTGTGTGATACCCCCTATTAGGCTCCAATAGTTGCATTAGAAAGTAATTCTTTTTTTAAGAAGTATTAAATAAATGAGTGATGAATGAGCTTTTGTTGAATTTGAGTTCAAGGGGTGTAGCTGTTGCAAAAAAGTTAATAGTGACATTGAAAAAGAAAGACAAAACAGAGAAGTGACCCTTTGGCCAAAAAGAAAGGGGGAGAAAGAGTTCACAATAGAAAAAAGCATAAGGGTTGTCTTGTGTTAGTCTTTTTGTTAAAAGGAGAGGAAGGCGTGTTATGTGCATTTTAATATATATATATCATATTAGTCGTGATCGACAACAAAAGGTCTAACTTTTGCATAAAAACCCCACCTCTACATAGAGGCTGTTTTTCTTTCGAATTCATGATCTAACCTTCAGTTACAATAAAACAACTTTAAAATTATGTCAAAACTCATTCTCAAACCCTATTTGTTATGGAGAAACCTTATAGTTGCGTCAAAACTCATCCTCAAGCCCTATTTTTTTACATGAATATCATTATTGTCCTCTTTAGTTTGGGTTTGTTACACTTAACTATGCTGTTGTTTTGGCATATTGCAGTTACCCTCTTTCAAGTGATGGGCATTAAAGTGTGTTATGTGAAATTACCATGATCCCCTTATTCCCCTTATTATTATATAAACATAACTTTAGCTGAAAAGTACCTTCCCCTCTCGAGAAATTGTTTACACTCAAGAGAATCTAAAGGTATTTTCTATCGTATTAATCTACAAATTTATCCATATCAGCATTGACCATTGTTGACTGTTAGTGTCATTAACAGTACAGGGGGGGTATTTGTTACAAAAGTCTAAACTAGAGGGGGATACTTGTAATATACCAAAACATAAAAACAAATTCAAACTAGAGAGGAGATAAATGTAATTTATCCATTTGGTTTTTCTCCATGTACATCTTAATACAGTATGATTATCAAGGTTTGCATGAAATTAATATATAATTAACTTGATGGCACTAAACACTGTGTTTTTTTTTTTTTAGTTATACATATGGGAGACTTGAACTTTCACTATCCATTTTGAATAATAAAGAAGATATCACTAGGTCACTAAACCCTTAATGGTCCCACTAAACTCCTTCTTAACCCTAATAATACTTTTAAGTTGTAACCATTTCAACATTCTATGTTTAATGGTGTATATTTGTTTAATAGTGTCAAAGTAGAGATCCGGTCACATGCTAAACAAGTGAGTAATCAAAGGACACAGAAGCATAAAACATGGCATAGAATATTTTCCACCTTCTATATAATGTGAAGATTAGGTGAAAACAACTTCATTTTTTTAACCAAAAGGCAAAGTTGAAAAACATGAATACTACCATTAACAACACGTACAAGAGATTTTAAGTCACCTTTAGAGTAAGCATTGGAAAAACCATGATTGTGTTTTTTTTTTTTTCTTTTTCTTTCATCCATCTGTTTCTGGAGTTTGAATAGCAACAAAATTAGACGGTTGAGCCTGCACGTGCGGTTAATGTGAACCGTCCATCTGTCAATGATATGGACTTTTGTCGCTACAAGCAACTCTTGTGGGGCCCAGAAGAAGAGGAGAATTTCGGCCACCGGCTTTAGTGTTGTATGGGTTGCTGGCGGCAAAGGGATGTCAACAGACAACTGAGCAGTATGATGGTGAAGTGCTTCGATTTTGGGAAGAAAAACCTATAGTCCACTCTGTATTTTGATGACTCTATGTTTACAAATTCAAAATACAGTGAACAAAAAAAATAATAACTACTCCTACCTATTTATATATTTAAATTTATACACAACTACTTTAAACAGAGCAAATTCAGAGTGAAATAGGTGTTTGACTTTTATTCCTAAAATCAATCCTTCCAGTGACAAACGGGACTGGTCAAATTGACATTTCTGTTAACAGACTAACAATAGTACTTGGTTTTTTTTTTTTTTTTTTATATATTAGTAAATTCACATAAGTTCTATTTTCTTTTGCACCACATAAGGACCTATACGATTCATTTTTATGAACTTTGTTGCCATTACCAAATGTTAGTCTCACCTATTGGAGCAACTGGGAGGGATAAAGTAGGTAGAAATTTAAGAACACGGATCCTCTCACGTATTGAAAGGGATGGAGATGAACCTTAAGAAAAGGAGGTCCACACTCTCCATGGGTGATTTTCACCTTCTGTATACGCACTGAAACCGTTCAATACTCGATTCAAATTTATAAATCTAATTTGTATTCTATATATTCATATATATTTCATTCTCGTTATCATATTGCTATTACCTAATATATATGATGTGGTCATGTTTTGATTGTTGTAACCACTCCAACTTTCACCATTGCAAATGTAGCCTTTAAATTAGTATTTTTTTATTTTAATGTTTTTCAACTCTCCGACTAAATAATTCAATTCAGGGGTTTCTGGATTAAGGGGATTCAATATTTAAGATTGTGAGACCATTTCAGTTCCCAATACTAAAATTGGACTAATACTACTACACTACCTTGTTAGGATTTGGGAGTAGGCCCCATGTTCCAACTTAAGGTCCAGATCACTTCACAGCTTTTATGTTCCAACTATAAGTGGACTTTGCTAATTGGTAGTATTGGAAGTTAGTCCTCAACTGACCATATCTGGGCTGGGCCTGTAGAGGAGCACATTTAGTTTTTAGGCACTGTATGATGCAACTAAACTGCCCTTCAATGTTATCCGAAGATTCCAAAAAAAAAAAGAAAAAATGGTAAAGCCTAGAGATAGTAAAGCATGGAAGTGTTGGAGTTTTGGATTCATAATAGTAATTCTTGAAAATTACTAAAACGGTACTCTACCTTTTTAGATTTTTAAAAGCAAAGTCATGCTTCAGACTTTTGCTTTTCAAAGGAAAGAAAGTACTTCCAAATTACTGACCAAGCAACACACCATATTGATCCCAAATTCCAATTGTCACGTGTATAGCTTCTCTCTCTATTTGTTGTCATAGCCTTAAAGGTGAAGAGTTGAAGACAATAATGTTTTTTTGGTGGAAAAAAAAAGGGTGAATTGCATAAAACCTTCTTGTAGTGTTTTGTAATAAATTCTTCTTTAATTTAATTTTTTTATTTTTTATTATTTTTATTTTTTCAAAAAACCCCTTCAACTAAAGAGGGGTGAGTTTTACTAAAATACCCCAACAAGTTGGGGATGCAATTTGACCAATTATATATAATATAATAATATGACATATAATATAAGACGTAGGATATTTTTGGCAATAAGTTGAAAATTAACCTTCCTCGGTTAGTTGGAAGGGTTTTTTGATAAAAGAAAATTTTAAAGAGGGTTTACTGCAAAGTCAAAGGGTTTAATGCAATTCACCCAAAAAAATACTAATGCTACACCGAATTAGCGCCTTGAATTTGGGAGTGGAAAAAAAATTAGTACAAATTTTGAACTAAACTTCTTTCAACTCCAAATCCAAATCCAAGATAGGCGCTAATTCGGTACTCCCAAATATAACATAAATGATATATATTTCAACAATTGTGGGTCAAGTTACCTAAAAAGGAGAAGGGTGTCAACTAAATAGAGTGAAGAAGTAATGAAATGGCCTGGCAGCTGAGCATCTACCAAAGTAATTCATACATGTTTTACAATCAGTCTACACCATTCAAATCATCAGCCCCCTTGCCTTTTGGTTCCCAAAAGAAACCAAGAACTCATAGAAAATCTACCTACTGTTTGTATTGCATTAAGTTTCATTAATTTGCTCTTAAACAAATTGTCATAAACACACAATATAGTCTGGTTGAGAATCCCATGTACACATACCAAACCAAATTAGCAAGGTGTGCATATATATATATATATATATATAACTTGGCATGTCTAAGTTCTTTGTGCTCAAATCCATTTACAGTTGTTGATCAAGCTAAACCAGGAAGCAGCCACTTCCTGTCCTAATTAAGAATAAAATGTCCAAACACAAAGATTTGCTGATTATTTTCTTTTCATCATGAAAGCTGATATAGTAATGTCACTCATTAAATATTATATACGCAATCAAGTTGTACAACCAAAAACTCTCCAAAATGGTTCTTGTTTAGATTTCTCATTCATAGTTTGTGTTCATAAGACTCAAAGAAATGATTAACCATGAATATATAGCTTGTCAGACATTTTTAGTGTTCTACTTTAATTTTATATATGCCATTTTAACAGAGCAAGGTTTTGTGTCACTCAAGTTAAGTAGACTCATTGGATGTGATTTCAAATATCATTACACTAAATTCAGTAAATTGTACTTCATAACAATTCGATGGTGGAACTAGATGTGCTTCCAAATACTTGGACTTAACTGATTCATCTTTTCAGTGAGGAATTTTCTGCAATACATAGCAACCACTTAGCATGAAAATTGTGATAATTGAGTCTATTGCTGGATTGACCACAAGTACTCTATACTGCCAGAAGAGCACATTAGCTTTTACTATAAACACAACTTCTCAAGGTTGGCTTTTGTAATCAACTTTGGATCAGACAAATTTCTAACCTAATATAAACTATAGATCAATCCTGCAGACTTAAAATTACACAACTTTTTGATTTTTCATTTTCAGCCAAAGAACATGTGTGTTCAGACCTTGTGAACATTTTGCAGAAAATCAACAAGGACTTGGAAAAATGAGTAAGATGGATAAAGTTAGGTTTTATTTCCTGTGACCTAACTACGGATGAGAAAAAAACTTCAATTTCCTCAAGATTGAATATTATGTTGAGAAGGGGTTCCATTTTCTAATATTTATGCTGCCATTATACAATTCTTGATGTTGTTTGAAAAAAAAAAAACACTAAATTTTCTTAGTTTATCATCTATCTTATCTAGTTTAGTTTAAGCTTCGGGGGAAACTAATTTCTTAACTGGAGAAAAAGGGAAATGGAGATCGGTAAAAGAGCTCCTTCTACGGAGAAAAGGGAACTTTCCTCCATTTTAGTGTAAGATTGAGAAGTTAGTTGCACCAAGAAACTGCAAAAATGAAATATCAATCTCCATTATTTAGGGAAAAAAAAATTTCTGTCTCCATTTTCCAATCTTATCTACTATATACTTGAAAACAAAGAATGTATCTAAAAATTCATTCAAAATATGAGATTTTACTTACCATGAAATTACTTGGTTAACTACTTTTCACTGCAGTCCTAAATATAACCATATTAAGACCATTCAAGATCCTTTTTTTCTTAGGTAAAGGAAAACAATAATTAAAGCAATGAGGTTTTCAAGCCTTCTCTCTCTCTCGTTTTTTTTTTTTTGATGGTGTAGGTTTCCATTTCTTGATTACGTCTAAGATTTAGATATATCTTAGCTACCTAGGTCCATAAACAAGAATGATTAGCTTTAAAAAGCCACTTTTTTCAGAAAAATATGTTAATATTCTACTCATATTCAATGACACACGATCTAAGAAACAATCATGGGATGGATTATACCATTCCCATTTGTATGAACAATATTTCTAGGGTTCCTACTTTATTTATATATAGCAGCAGAAGTGCTTGTGTAGAAAGTGTGCAGTAGTACTAATACAAAATTGGCAGAGTAATCTTCACCCCATATGATAAACCTTTCGCTCCAATCCCTTCCCTCTTGAATTAATGCTGAATATATTCAAAGCCCACTGCCTGAAGATCATTGGTATCATCTTGAAAAGTCCACCGAGAATCCATGGAATGAGAAGCCCTTTCAAATCTAGTATAAGAAACATTTTCGCCCGGTATGACTGAATTTGCATGATCTTCCGTAGAGTACTCCATGAGCCCATTCTGATAACATGAAAGGGTTTCAACACTACTGGTTTGGTTTGGATTGAATTGTGGCATCATGTTTGAAGTTTCAGACTGAAACCAGCTCTGAAGATGATGATGATCTTGTGAGTAGGAAGGAAATTTCCCATAGAGTCCCTCATTAGGGTTTGCATTTGTGGTGGGATTGGGAAAGCTTTGAGCTGCTATTTCCTTTAGAGAAGCTAGTTGTGCTTGTAGATTCACAACCTGCACAATTAAAAGAAAATGGAGAAGTTAGTGAATTTATTTTTTATTTTTTTGGGTAGAAAAAAGTCGTTAGGGTTTCAATCAACTGCAGTAACAAGTGCAGGGTTAAATGGGTACTAAACCTGTTTTTGAAGCGCGAAAATATGCGAAACACAGCCATAAATGGGATCTTGAAGCCTAGCTTGGGCTTCATATGAGATTGTAACCGCGGCTTCACACCGGTCACTCACAGGGAGGTGAGCAAGGAGCTTTGAGGCATTGCTGGCGCCAAAAACTTTGTGGATGGCAGCAAAATGAGTAGCACCTTGTTCATGGCAGAAATAAGGTGCAAAAACACAACCCCTCACACATTTTCTTCTCAAGAATTTGCAGGCACCACAAGGAGAACCAGAGCCAGTCATGTTGAACTCTTTTGGGGGTACTTGTGGTGATGATAATTTGATTGATGATTATGAGTGCAAGCAAGCATTATCATCATGTTTATAAACACTAGAAGAAGAGGGAGGTGGATCATATTTTAATGAATAATTAATCACATTTGGTTCCCTTAATGGACTACATATTTCATTATTTTTTTCTCTACAGAACCCTCTTTCACCCTCTCCGTCCTATTTTTTTATACTAATGTATTAATTTGTGATTCCATTGAACAACCTTAGAGGACAAAAGAGCTAGCATAAACCAACCCCATTTCCATATGCTTGATGATTGGATCTTTCTTGGCCCATTTTTCGAATGTGTTGAATTTTTTATGTGATAGCTGCAACTACATTTAGCTGTTGATTTGAATAATTTTTTGAATAAGCTTGTGAAATAGGTTAAGTTGTGTTTGGGTGCATGTTTTGTCCTTCCAACAATTTTATTTTATTTTATTATTATTTTTATTATTATTTTTTTTTTTCTGGACGTGAAACATTAATTTCTGGTTGGAGATGAGTATTATCACTCATTGTGCATCAGTGACATTCTAATGAAATTCAATCTGTAATCTAAAAGAATGCATTAAGTATATACATCGATGAGTAATGCCTGATCAATGAAAACATATTCATGCTATGTTTTGCGGCACCAAGAAAATTTAGTACAAATTTTAAACTAAATTTCTCCCAATCTCAAATCTAAGGCATCGATTCGGTGCTCTCAAACATAACACCACTGTCTTCCATATTTTCCCTATTGAAGTTGATTTTTACTCTCAGAAAATATTGAGTATTCTGCGTATTGATAATGTAGCGCCTCCATCTAATGATGAGTGCTTATTTCCCATTAGAGTTAGCATAAGCCCTCTAAAAACAAAGGGCAAAATAGAAGACCGCTTTTAAGTAGGACCCATATGAGTCTCAGTTAAAAGCATCCAACGGTACTGGTGCATTCAGATAGATGTTCTGCCCTCCATTATTTTGGAAGGCCAATTATTTTTCTTCCTATAAACAAAGGAGTAGTAACTCACCATTGAATGAGGGCGCTACGTTATTGGGATACCCAATAATTTTTTCTCTATTGCAATAGAATATACAAACACATCATTTAGTGCATTCAATTTTCTAAATTCATCACCAAATGTATCTAATTAAGAGGAATGATAAAAAATGGTCCATGAGTAGTCATTATAACTATGTGTCATTAGTCCAAAGTAATTTTGGATTGTTGGTACATCCATGGTAAATAAGTTCATTATTTCATCTAAGATTCTATCAAATTATAGTGAATTACAAGTCCATTGATACTCTATCTTAAATGCCTTTAAAATAGTGGTACCAACTATACATTGACTCTGTTTCTTAACCTTTTGTCATATGTTTCTAACCGCAAAGAGTGCAAAACTGAGGCACAGGACACAAGTGATACATTTGCTGTCCTAGTGCTACTAAGAAAGGACTTGTTTACCCTTTAAGTAACTTTGACAAGTAACTCGGGCACTCAATTTTGTTCTCTTCTGACTTGAATTATCAATATTTCATTTTGATGGATAGAGATATCAATAGACTACGACCCATTATGGTAAATAATTTACTTCACAAGTAGGATGTACATAAATATGTGGGTCCTACTCAAATATATCCAAAGGTTGAACTTTCTCGACACTAGAATATATCAAATTGAAATGAGTGATAATTGGTAAAAAAGAAAATTGTGCGTTTTTTCCACCTCTAGCTAATCATTCAATCTTGACCATCATGGATGGTGTGCTGTGTCCGTGCGGGTGCATAATAAATAGGGTTCTAACAAACAAGAAAAATAATCAAGAAATGTAAAGCAAGGTTTGTATCTAATGTTGGATTGTGTTTATGTGATCTGTGATACCCTTTTAAATAAAGTTAGCAGATAATTAATCAAGAAAAATGCAATGCAAGGTCACACAAAAATGGAGCATATTCCAAAAGTGAATGAAACAAAAGATTGTGACACTGGAAGTCTGGAATAGAATTATACAACAGTACATGACTAGATGAAACACACATACAGGAAAATCATAGATTCCTCCTTCTTGTTGCCTACATTTGTTTAAGTGTTGCAGGTCATTTGCTTGTCGAGCAATACTGTATTACTATCGCATTAATCCTTATAAATTATAATTAATCACTTTCAATCACTTACTTGTGTCACCCATAAGCACCAACATGTAGACCTTGCTGAAATGTGCATTTAGGCCCTACATTCAACCCTTAACAGTGACCTCCCAACTTCACTCATCTCTCTCTTCAAACTCCGAAATTCAATTTTTATTTTTTTATTAAAAAAAAAAAAAAAACCCATTAAAGAGAATTTAATTTAGGCTAAGGTTCTTTTTTTTTTTTTTTTTTTTTTTTTTTTTTTTTTTTTTCATAATTAGTACTTACACACACATGTCTCCATGGAGGCTTGAACCCTTGATCTTCCTTTGAGAAGTAAAAGTCTTATACCGTTAGACTACTGGCCCGTTGGTGACTATGGTCATTTTAGTTCCTTCATTTTAATTTAATTAACTATCAATTACAAAATGAAATAGTAATAGATAGGTTAATGACATGGCTAATCTATGAAATGGAATTGGACAATGAATAGAGGGTTTCATGCATGGCATGCATTGCCTCCCTGGAAACCATTATCCCACTATAGGGAATGGCTTTGAGTCATTTATGGTTGGTTGGCCACTTAAGCAAGAAAGAGAAGAGTGATCTTGGAGACAATAAGGCATCTTTAACAAATGGGGTTATTATTAAAACACATCTACTTTAGACAATAATGTAGGAAGGGTACTTCAACTAATCTTAACAAAGACCACATTATAAAGCTTTATGTATTTCAGTTTTGGTTCAAATATAATTTAACTTGCAACTTGAAAATAAAAGCAACTCTTCTATGATGATTGGTGCTCTTACATTAAAATTTTACATTCAACCATAATTTATATCAAAAGTGCCAGTGAAGTGAATTTATCAATCTAGAGCATGATGTTGCAACGAGAAATTGGGATCGCAGAGGACAGTGAGAGGGGAAAGATCACCCCATACAGAATATGGCCTTCATTTCTATGCATGGAATACAGAGAGGGTAGAGATAACCTCATATTGAGTGTAGTCCCACAGACACAGTAGATTATGCCCCATGTGAAATGAATCCACCATTTTTCTATACACATGAGATGATCCAAATTTAACAATCAGAACCCATTATTATAGAGTGTGGTTTTTATTTTTGTGCACGGAACTAGGAGAGGGTAGAGATCACCTTATATGAAATGTGGTCTCACAGACAGAGTGAATCTCACTCTGTGAAAAGAAATTCACCCTTTTATGTACATGATCTAGATTCAACAGTCAGAACCCGCCATTGTAGCTTTTTTTTTTTTAATAAAAGCATTTTTAGAGTACCTTTTAGAGCATAAGGGCACTTTGAGAAAATTTTCTTACTCTGTTTCTTTTTCCTACCTCAACACCTCTTCATCTAAATTCAACCACTATATATATCAAAAGTGAATTTCTCAATCTAGCAATTAAGAGTATGATGTCGCAATGAAGAATATGATCCTTTTGTCTGCACGGGACGGTGAGAAGGTAGAGACCATCCCATATGGTGTGTGGTTTTTATTTTTATATACGGGACGGTGAGAGGGTAGAGATTACCTCATATAAAGTGTGGTCTCACAGATAGAGTGGATCCTGCTCCATGTGAAGTGATGTCCACCCTTCTTTGCACACAAGAAATGATCTAAATTCAACGGCTACAGTCCGTCATTGTAACTTTCTTAAAATAAGAACATTCTTAACTATCTTTTAGAGCATAAGGGTATATTATGAGAAAATTTTCTTACTCTGTTTCTTTTTCCTACCTCACCTCTTCACACTTTCTTCTCTGTGGGAGGGACAAACTTTTCTTGGGCATTGTTTTAAGTCTGCTTTGATGCATTTCTATTTGGAACTTTGTAATTCTTTCATTCTTATATTGGCTAGCTAATGTTTAAATATGTGATGATAGGTTTAATTTGCTTGTCATTGGCACAAGTTCCAACTCCATTTCATTGACTTTAAGATTGGCAGCAGAGAAGTGTAAATTTTAATACCAGAAGTTCCTTGATTGGATATGTTTGTGTTAGAAAACAGATAAATTAAACAGTAACTTGAATCATAAGTATTTAATTTGACATGGCTACTAGGGTGAATAAACCAAATAGAACTAGATCTGGAATAATAGAAGAGAAGCTCTCTTAGCTTGAAATTACTGCTCTTACTCTGTTTTTATAGTAATTGAAAGATATCAATCATAATAATTAAAATTAAAATCTCTAATTAAATAACTGAATTCACATAATTTTTTTCTTCTCGAAACTTCAAGCAAGTGCACACACATGATATTGTCTCTGATAAGGTTCGAATATTATTTGAGTAAATGTTACGTTTAAAGCTATATTTGGTACAGTGAAAAAAAAAGGAAGAAATAAAATGATAACATTAGTTATGAAATAAAAAAATAAAAAATAAAAATAAAAAATAAAAATGAGTAGAATATTATTCACCATTTATCAGGTTTAATTAATGAATAAAGAAAAAAAAAATTATAATAATCATGTTTAAGGAAAGAAAGAAAAATAAATTATTTTAATGAATTTATTACTTATACCCTTTTGCATAAATTTTGTCTTTTTAAAAAATAAAAACAAATTTGATCTTAATAAATTTTTACTAAAAATACTAGCTTTTCTTTTCATTTCTTAAATCTTTCATACCTAATTTGTATCTTTCTTAATTCCTTGCTTCGTTTCTTTTCCCTTAATAACTTTTATCAAACATAATGTTTAAGTTCCTTCCATTGCTTTTGTTTTCTTTTCCTTCCATTACCCTTCAACCATACTGAACGTACTGTTGTCACAAAAAAATAAAAATACAAAATTAATTAATAATAAAAGGAAAAACAAACGGGTACTGTTTATGACGGTGTGCATTGCACGTGCTCAACAGGGGAAAAAAAGGTTTGTGGACCCCACACAACCTTTCTCTCTTACCATTTCGATAGTGACACGCCGCACGAGTGGCCCATTTGTTTTAT